CTTTCATGTTATCTCTTTGACATATACCAAGATAACACAACACATATCATACCTTTAGAAAGACAACAGAGAATCTTTCACACGAATTTAAGTGGCGCTTACACCTATAGGTACTGTCAAAGGCCTCTTTAAGGATATAAAACTTTGGCAGGTCATTCATACCAGTGTAACGCAGTATCTGGAAACCTTTGATCTAGAAATCTCAACTAATACGAGAGTGTGTATTAACTGGTACAAACTATGACTGGGAAGTAGCTATTTTGGTGATCCTGCAAGGATCAGTGCGCGGTCCGTCTTCTTTTTGTTTCTAGCAGGATTTGCATCGATGCTCTGGACATAAACACATTTGAGTGAAACGTGACTTAAAGGCAAATATTAGCAAATAAATTGTTCAAGCAAGAAGGGCATTAGAGGGGCACTTACAAAATTCTTTGCTTTTTTAGAAAAATTCGAGAATTTTGATACTATAGAAACATTTATCTCATCCCTGATTTTGATAGCTAAATTGATGGAAATACAAATTTTTCTCAGTTTTAGCACACAGTTCTCTTTTTATAGCAGATTTAGAAGCTGAGTATGAAAATAATCATTTCTCAAATTTTTTCCAATCGAATTTATTTCATACAATTCTGCACCTATGTTATAACTGAGAATCCTGGTTACTTTCAACTGTCCATTTGTTTTCGAGAAAAAATGTTTTGTCACATACGGACAGTCTCATTTCCCTCCGGACTGACTGTCCGTCACGAAATTGATCAAAAAAGTTTCATCCCGCACATGAAAAAAATTAATCCTAACAGCCTTTGCTTTTTAACTAACTCGTTTCAGTATAACAAGCATGATTATTTCATTTAATCACTGCTAAATGAAGTAGTTGGTCTATAATTTCACGATTTCTCCTTGTACGTCCGTCACAAAAGTTTACAATCACACTGGGATGGTATATGTAAGCTTCAGTTTTTCCAAACCGCTGCCAACGATGAGCTTTTCCACGAACAGTGATATAAAAAGGATGGCGATCAAGATGTGTATAGCCATATCATTTTGCCTCTTTCGTATGACCCAAATTCACCCTTGTGGTCCTCCCATGCACAGGAGGCAAATCCGACGATTTGACTGGCTGATAGCAAGCAATTCAATTCAACGCGAAAGCTTACTTGCCATGCGCAGTATCGACAACTTTTTTGCTCGTCGGTGATAGGCCAAGATTCTTTTGTTTCAAGATAAAGGTTTTCAGACTTTGTCTCCCCAACAAGGGAAAGTATGGCTAGAGTGCCCTCTATGTAATCAATGGTTTCATCAGAAATGCTTCTTGGAGTGATTGAAACTTTTAAAATTAGGAATTCAAGGGACAGAATTAGCCCAAATAGACACTTTAAAATGTGTTTATCATCGTTTCAACCTTATTCATTATGTTTTTTTATTATTTTGATAAACATTTTCACCGAAATTTTGTGACGGACGGTCGTAAGTTCCCTGAAGCAAAAAAATCGGCATTTCTGCTTGTGTTATCGACATAAATAGTAATAAAGAGGTACCGTATCAGCATAGATAGAGCAAAAGAACAATTCTTTGTCGCTATTTGTATAGAGGAAAACAGTTCTGAAAATGTTGCGACGGACGGACAATTCGAAACTTGTCCAATAACTGCGCACACGGTGTTTGACTTACCAAATAAACGATTGACATCAAATATTATTCACCTCTACTAAATGTTGATGACAAATAACGTGTTTTTTAGCAATTTTAAATGCTCTTGTGCAACCGGCACGCTTTGCGACTATAATACAGAAGACTGGCCTAATATCATACTGCATGAAAATACAAAACACAGTCAATTTCTCAAGAAAAATTCTGGAATTATCCGTTAATTTTTGAGATCTTATAAAATCATCGTTTGTCCGTCCGTCACGGATAATGAATTTCGTAATAGCCTCTAAACCTCTTTCGTAAAAAACTAAAGTTATACTTGTTTGAAGTTAAATACACCTTTAAATCACCATTTAGAAATAAAGATTGAAAGCATGTGAACTTGTACCCTGGGTGCCAGAGCCTCAGAGAGTCAAAGGATGAAGAACGGGAGAAGGAATTGCGAAGGAGAATGGAATAGTAACCCCTTTCCTCTTCCATTCTCCTTCGCATTTCCTTTCCCCCTCGCATTTTCTTTCCCCCGTTCTTCATCCTTTGACTCTCTGAGGCTCTGGCACCCAGGGTAGTGAAATTATAACGCTCCCATTTCCGTCATAACAATAAATATCTATTACATTCTTAATTTGAATTGTGAAAGTAGAGGGGAATTTAAAAATAATTAACCTGCCCATGAACCTGAATCTGGTTTTGGCGAATTTAACTCTTACGTGTCACAACTTCAAAATATAGAAAGCTGTCAACCCAAGTATCTTTATGCTGAAATTCTAAGCTTTCATTAATTGGTCATTGTGCGAAATTGCTATATACGCTGGTGGCTCACGTTCGGTACTACAGATAGTAGATAAAGAAAGACAACGATGTATGGTTCAGGCTCAAATTCTAATTCCAATAGAGTACAATATAATTCCTTAAATTCTAAATTCGATCCGTTCTAATTCTGTCTTCTCTAATCAACTTCAACTCAAATCTCATTTCTAACGCATACTTCACGTGTAGATTAAATGACAACAACAGCAACAACTACTGTAGTACGTCGTACCACACAATTTCTTACAGTCATTTCCAACTGACAAGTTAATATGAATTTGGACTTTGAAGCTATTCTCATTTACCCTTCCGCGACATCTCCAGGTACAATCTTTTGTATTAGAATGGCGGGTTATGGTATATTTTTATAATTTCCTTCAACCGAGGTGAACCGAAGGCAATCCCTTATTTTGAAATCCCAAGGTCACATTCTAAAATTCCAGCACAATGCGTGTAGAATTTTGGGCTTTTTGCTAAAAACCGAGATTATGGTCTTTGCTTGTCGGTCACTGTATACTAAGTATCGTTAATTGAGGATGTCATATCAAAAAAAATTTGGGAGAGTTTGAGGAGATCAGCTCTACTCAAATGCATTTTGCTGGTTAAAAGGCTCCCGTCTTTAGCCACAAATGTTCGTTTCAAATAGAAATCTTCGCAGCGACTTTGAAAGATGTTGATTGTTTTGGTTGTTCTTCAATGCTTTTTTCTTTTCTTCTTCTTTCACCCGGCTTTATCCAGTCCAGGTGGTCCCTCTTTCCCATCGTAATGTCAAAATCAAAGCAAATTCAGCTATGAGATATAATAATAAAATAAAGATCTTGCCTAGGATCTTCCTTTGGTCAAAATCGATAATGTAAATATTTTCATGGACGGCGCCAAGCGAGGGGCTGGGGTGCTTCATTGTATTATATTGTACTTATTATATTTATTTTAACTTTAATGGTTTTTAAATGCATTGTCCCTTGTAAATTAGCTTTTATCCAACCGAGGGGCTACCATGTCTAAAAAAATTGAAATTGAAAGGAAATGAAAAATGAAATTAAAAAACTCGAGCCCTCCCTCCACTCTTTGAATTTCTTGGCACCGCCCCTGAATTTAGATTGATTTTTCAGCCGTCCATATAATGTCGTATTCCCAAAATCCTTCTTGCCAACAACCATGGTGGTGGCCTTCACTAATTTCCTAAACAATCTAAACATGACCCCCGAAGTTTCAATAACATTTTGCCAGCCCTGCCCTATAAGAGCCTATGGTACCGATGTTCTCCTCTTGGCTTCTACTCAACCCAACGATATTCTTGGCCGTTGTGACGCAGGCTAGGCCGTTCAACCAGACAAATGACAACATACCGAAATGCTTGATCAATCAATGTACATGGCTGCTAAATAAAGAGGCCCTACAAGGGGGGTTGACATTATTTTATATTTCATAACGAAATCTTGCCATTATTTCATATTTCAAAATTAACAAATAAAATATTTCAAAATTATCAAAAGGCCCATCCTGCTTCCAATTAAGGAATTGGATTTATTAATTCTTTGATACCAACTAAACTGAAGTATATGCTTGCTACTCACTCTATCTCTGAATAGCTGGGTGGGGTTCTGGAAACACTTCAAATCTAAACAGCTCAATTATCGCTGTTTTGTGTGGCTTCTGCGATCAAATTAATAATCCTCACATAGAATTTAATAAAACACTCGGTTATTTCGCTATTTTGATACTTCATTCTGGGAATCAATATTATTTCATATTTCAAAGCTTAAAAACCTAAATATTTCTATTTTTTCTCCAAAAATCGCAATTATTTCATATTTCAAATACCCCTTATAGGGCCTCAACAAATTTTGAAAAATCACCAACACCCAATTTGCTTTGCTTCGAGGATTGCAACTTATATTTCTTCAACATGTAAGATATTTCATTAAGCTAATTAGACATGCTCTGTGAGAGAATTCTATTCCATCGAAAATTTGCTCTATGAAATGGCCTTTTTCATGTTTTGAGGGCAAACTACGATAATTTCCCCAATCGATAGTGAGGACTCTGATTACCGTTCTATGCAATTTAGTGGTAGAGGCACTACAAGGTTAGGTACGTAAGCATGCAGCCAGTTTCGCCTTACACATTTATACACTGAAATAAAAACTTCCCGATTACAGCCTGCCAGTAAATTCCTTTGCTTAACTCTTCCCTCTTTTAGGTCCTTAGGCTAAGAAACAATAAATTTGTTTTTACACGATCACATGATTCTTTCTTACTTCTTATCCTATGTTTTAATTATATTTTGAGTGGAATTGTTGAGACCCGTTGTTAAGCTTTTACAACAACATTACTTCCTACAACTACAATCAGGCCCTGTTCCCGTTACCCCTTTTTAATGTCTCCATTTTTAGATCATTCCATTTTCATATTTTCTTGAACTGTTTCCATTACTCCGGCCTACTCTGGCTTCGTCAAGGAAGTCGACATAAAAACGAAACTAAGGTATTCCCATTTTTTGTTCGGACTCGTTTTGAAACTGAGGACGTTGCCAACAATTGTACAATCGAGATTTTTTACTTCGGTGTTCATAAACAATGCCGCCGCAAAAGAACGATGATCATGCAGTGGAGTTTCTTTAGATCTCTAAGCACAACTTTAGATTTCATGGTAGAACAAAATGACCAAAGGTACATTCAAATGCTTTTTTCCTTTGATTGGAAGAATCCGAAGAAAAAATTGAATTAAGTTACTTGTTGTAGTTGCTGTTTATTTTTCGAGTAACTCAGTTTTCGCTGTTCCCATTAAAATGGCTTTTTTCAAACGACTCGTCTTCGAATGAATTCACTTTGAACATCGGTTTGGTATCAAATTAATCCTCTTTCGAACATGTCAATTGGAATGCAGATAAAGAACTGACTCTTTCAGGTTCGTTTTCGTACGTTAACTGAACAATGGGAACAGAGCCGGCGTGATCTGACAAGGCCCTCGAATTTATTTGCTACATAATGGGATGAAATTAATGCCATCGAGGCAATTCCTCAATCAATGGGGGCCCATGAGGGTGGGGGCTTATGACACAAATTACTTTAAGGGGCTTATTCAAAAGAGCCTTATTCTAAGGTGGGGCTTACCCTAGGACTTGCGGTAGTTCAATGCCATAAATCTCTGTTTACACAGAATAGAAAACGTTCAAACATACACCCAAAATATTTGTCATGTCTGTCATATTTCGAAAAGTCCCAAAGTTGGAAAATGAGGTCACGCCCTTAAGGATAATTCTAGCACATGCTGTTCCAGTGGTGTTCTTGGATTTGTCCTATCCCTTTTATTTACATAAATTCATACTTTTGCAATTCAGGAGAAGCCCTTAGACCATCTGTTCCAAAAGTGTTATACCCCCAAGATGGTATTTCGTCAACAATGCTCGACACTGACAGTTGGTAAGTTATTGAACTCCAGGTGTAACACCAAGACAAAATCGTTCAATTTTTGCTATGAAATATTGAAATTCAATTCCAAATCTACATTATACCCTCATATTTACATCTGACTTCTGAAATTTCTCATAAGTTAATATAAAATATATGTACATGATATAAACACCAGAATGACAAAACAACTACAATATTTACACTACAATTTCTAGGAAACGAAATAACATCTTAAAGACTTTGCCAAGGCCGCCATAGTCTTTGGCTTGAAAATGATTTTTTAAGTCCCTGTCTCTCCTGAGAGCTCGACAGCCTGTTTTCAAGGTAAGAGGTCCATTGGAATTCTGGTGACGATGTTGTTTCGTTCGGTGAATGTGGTACCCTTGCCAACAGCACTCCAACTGGACTAGCAGGTGGCGATGGGTAAGCTGATATTACAGGAGAGAAGCCGGGTTTTCCTGCAACAAACGCATGTTCATCTCGCTTCCCTTGCGAATGCAAGTTCGATCTTGACGTCATTTCCTGTGGGGGTGCAGATATGTGACTAAGCATGCGTGCTTTGACCTGTGGGTTGACTTCATTAGATCGTAGAAGATAACTCTGAACTTCGCGGGCGCATTCGTTGTATCCAGCTACGAAATGTTGCTCGGTATCTGTAAATTAATCAAACGATTAGAAAAAGAACTTGAAAAGAATCTATCATTCATAAATACAAGTGAAGATTAAATGAAAACGGCATATGTATGAAATTCATATTCTCGTGTTGTTAGTTTACACAACTAAGCGTACTTCATGCTGGAAGCATTTGCATATGTATTCTAGGCATACAACTGTCGTTACTGCAATCAAATATAACCGTAAGATTTGTAAACCACCCAACCCAATACAGGACGCCTTGACAATTAACTTAATGCAAAGGCTGTAATTCTCCAGCTCCCAAATACAATTGACACGCGCCGCGTGCAAGATGAATGAAAATTGGTTGCTTCCTTTTCATAATTACAAAATTTAATTGTTAATTTGGTTTTTTCTTTTCTTATTCAAGTCATCAAATAACCTTTTGTACTACCCCACACACCCCAGGTGTCCAACAATGAACATGAAGATGGTGGAATGTAAACGGACAATTGCGTCTTGTTTGCTGACGCGAGCTGACGGTTTCCCGCGTAAATTTTGCAAACAAAGATGCTGTTGACAGCAAGGTCTTGCGCCACGCTCGTGGCGGAATGTGCTTGTGCCGATTACATGCATTTATAAAACGAAAGTACCCTTGCTGTAAATCAGACTTTTTCACGTGTATATTTAGAAGAATCTTTTAGCCCCTAGGTAAATGACTTGCTGGGGTTCACCCAGAGAGCGGGGTTGAGTGAGCTCTGAAATTTGATTATGAGGAAAGAGTAACATAGCCCTCAAGGGTGCAATTGTCCTATTTTTGACATCAATCAAAGGGGCAACGTCTCCAATTGACATTAGACTTATCTAGAAGGAATGTGTTTCTCAAAAAGAAAGTGGTTGGTATCCATGCTTCAGGTCAAAAATAACACAGAGTTGAAGTACCTAAAAACAGGTAAAGCAAGAACACTTACCATTGGTTGAGCGCTGCTCGTTGGCATTCAGTGACTTGAGGTAATTTACAGTCAATTCAAGAACATCAGCCTTTTCCATTTTGTTAAATTTTGAATGATCCTTGTTTAACGACGATAATACAAGGCTTTTTAACTCATTTAAACTTTCGTTTATTCGCGCCCTTCTTCTTCTCTCCATGAGTGGTTTACTGAACTGGAAAGTAAATGAAAATTTTAATAGATGCAACCAATGACTGAAATTTTGCACAATTTGTTGGTAAACAACCTTCTTACTTTACTAAAAATCACATTAAATTTCGAAAAACTCTTCTCAAAAAATCAATAAAAAATGAGTATTATTTTTTACCTTTTTCTTGTTAACTCCATTTTTTGACTGTTCGTCCACACCGGGTTTCATAATTATTATTCTTCTTTATATTTCCCTTAGTTTTAGAGCTGCACAATTTTAGGCCTGCCTGCCTGCCCTCTTTCAGCGTATTGGATACGAAGTGTGTCGCTCGCGTGGCTAACTACCTCTTATAGTCATGCGCGCGCTATAGCGTGGGAAAAGTTTCCTTGCTGATGGCCAAAATGGGCCCTACGGACCTAATTGGATTAAGGAGTCAACCGCATTCAGGCATAGCCGTGGGACCGCTTCTCTCTGATTGGTCAATTACGGTCGAGTCGCGTGCAACACCTTGCTATTTACATAACAGCGCTGCTGGGACGTTGAAAACCGTGGGAACCCTCAACTATGATTGGTCAGTTGGTCATGAATGGAAACAAAAGATCGGCCACAATGAAGAGATTATTATAGCTGAAATAAAGCCACGAATGCAGACTGGCTTTCGCACAAGCCAAGGCTATTATCGCCTTGCAAAAGGCCTATTCAATTCAGATTCTCTTTGAAATAAATCGCAGTGATTAACCTTGATAGTTTATCCATTTCAAGCGAATTAAATGCGCTTTTATTATTATGCGTCGTTAAGTTTAAGAAATGTTGTCATGCGATTCCTCAGGGCCATTGGCGATTGTTTTCCTTGTTATGAATTCATTATCCATTATTTGTACTATTTTTGTTTTTCACACGTATCAATGCACTGCGGTTTCATTCAATATTACGATACACGTGCCTTTTTTGTGCAATAAACAATGGGAGTGTCTAGGTGCGATCAAAGCAAGTCTACTGGGTGCCTTCAATGGCTGTCCTGTTTTAGAGTTCATAATAATAATTGTTGCTTTGTTTTAACAAACTTGTATGAAATAATTATAATTGTTTTTTACAAACAGGTTCCGTTGCATTTTCAAAACTAATATTGGTGTAGGAGACAAAGGGGCTGGGGGGCTACAGCCCCCTAATCATGCAAAATTTATCAAATTTCAGGCCACATTCGGGCTGTGTTACCTGTATGAAGCAATAATATTCGGGCAAGATCCGTACTAAGACCCCCTAAACCTTAAGCATCCGCTATACCCATGGTATAAGAGACGAATCCAAGCACAGTGTACTAAATTCTTCGTACACAAAAAGGCAAATTTTCCCCTTCAGTATTTTGTGTATCGTCATTTCGAATTAAAATAATGACGATTCATTAATTTGACCCACACATGCTCCTCCACAGTAATCAAGTTTTTGCATACTGATCGTGATTCTTGTTCTGATCACCATGATAGTAAAACGATAACATATTCAGCGAATGAATTGAGTACCAGAATGAAATAGATTAGTTTGATGATAGTAAGATTGAGATAAAAAGCGACGATAATCAAAATTTATTCTTGGAATTTATGAGTTGAGACCATGTGATTGAAAGAACGCCATAGAAACTTTAAATGTGCAAAATCAATTAGAAATTGGCTGATTTTTTCAAATTTTCAGTCCTTGCAATTTGGCGCTAATCTTTCGAAGGTGGATGTAGCCGACATGCTGTTGGGTGGGAGCAGATAGCCTCTCTCTCAATATTTCAATAACAAGGCAATTTTTGCCCCATTTTCCTCTGCATAAAATGTCTACCAATAGCCACTAATTGCAATTTTTCGCTCGTTTTGCCGCAGGAATTTCACCTGTCTCAGCGTGTTTACCTCGTTGCATTGGTGTTCTTTTTGGTGTGGGGATGGCCTTCATGGCCAATTTGACGAGGACACTGTGTACCTCTGCGTTGCAGCAGTAAAACCCCAAGAATGTAAAAAGTGTAGTTTAAATCGATTTTTCGCCGCAAGAATTCCTTCGGCGTCCTAAAGCAGCCTTTCCTTTATTCACACATTGAGTATGTAGTATGGATTAATTTGTTGATCAGTAATATTTTGAAGTTTAAAACTTTGGTGTAATAGATTACAAGTTGCACCCCCTTCACCACACCCCAAATCTTCTTTTGTCGTGCCTCCTGAAAAATGCTATTATATACTACAATAAACTTTCACAAATATCATCTTACTAGCAAGTCACCCAAAATTATATTCTCAGACAATAAAAATTTCGAAAATCCCTTTGACAGAAAACCCTGTTGTGACAATAAAGCTACCCTGGGTACCAGACTAACTATGTATAAAATAAAATATCTTCTATTTTTTATATATATTGAGTCTGGTACCCAGGGTACAATGAAGCAAACTGGAACGCTACAACTTGTCCCTTTGTTGATGAGAGCAAGCATTGCAAATTTTATTACTGTTTTTGTTGTGTGAAAGTGCAGTAACAATTTGCCAAAATTTCGCCGTTAAAATGAATTATAAATACTTTCAACGAGAATTTGTTAATCATCAAAACTTGATACAGCAGCTATCAGATCCAGCCTATAATTAGCTACACCCTCTTAAAAATTTCATTACCAAAATGAGAACTTTTTTCCTATCTAGGGGTGCTTTTTTGATGAATTTTCAAACTTGTCGACAAATAATGGATGAAAATTAAAGAAGAAATTAAGAACAAGCTATCGAATGGAAAGTCAAGTTATCTAATGGGTTATCGCATGGATAAAATCCTACCTCTGGTAGTTTCCATTTCAGGGTTTTTGTCGTTGTAAATAATGCTTGGGAGCTTTTTGCTTTACAAAGATGATGGTAATGTTTCAGCCATTGACTTAGTAGTACCATGGGTGACAGAGCCATAAAATTTCGAGCGAGTAAATAGTAGCCTTCACTTTCCTCATCCTCTGGATTTCTTCTCCTCCGTAGAGTCTGCACGCAGGCTGGGAAATAGAAGTTCGGAGCGGAGAAGCGGAGAATGCTTCTCACATGCTCCTCCGCACTTCCGCTTGGTTTTCCTATTCCACGCTCGAAATTTTGTGGTTCTGGTGCCCAGGTTATTGATTTAGCAAGTAACTGTATTTTTATGTAAACTCTTCCTCTTTATTGACTCGAAAACTTGTCAATAATATCAGGTCTGATTTGGTCTCGCTTACGACATCAATCCTATCTCGCAGGTTGCAAAACTTGCTTAAAGTTTCAACCCGGGCCAAGAAGGAAAGCATTTTACTTGGAATCTATCTGCACTCACCAATAAAGAACGAAGCTTTAGAGATAACCAAAGAGGCCAATGCACACTTGTTAAATTGTAACCATGAAGAGACTGACACACGTCCTGGTACTCTATTCTTGCATCACCGATAACAACGTTGTAGTTGTCTATGAAGACATCGTTGTACCTGTCTTGACGGTCGCATGTTTATTTCGTTGAAAAGCCTTCAAGAAAATGGCTTTAAAAGATTGACCACGAGATGTACGTTAATGAACAAAAATTGTAGGATACCAAGGCGAAGGTATGCTCAAATATTTATCAGCTATACAACCAGATACTGGCTGTAAAACAACATTGGCAAATTTTTTAAAAAAGGAAAGTAAACTTATCGAAACGTTAAAGAATTATTCTGGGAGGGTAGAATTGCTCTTCGGAGTTTGGATGGGCCAAGAAATCTCCGAAGATATTCTCTCGAATGCAAAAAATTCTGCAAAAATGTTATAAAAAGGCAAATGTTAAGAAATTCTATACAAGGCAATAGAGGACAAGTGATTAGTAGCTCTATACAGCCAGATCCAGACCCACTGAGACAAGACTTTACTATTAGCTTCATTGTAAAAAGAAGAATATAAGAAATTGCCTTTGAAATTTTTTGTTGGGCTTACGATGGAGAGCATGAGCGTATCATACCTTCCTGGTTTACAGAAGCAAATTTTCTTGATTTATTCAATTTCTAATACATATATATTTGATAAATGAATAAGATTTAATACAGAGAGGATTTACAGAGAAACAGGCTTTTAACGACTTGATGCAACAATATCCGATTATTGAATTAAAAAACCGCTGTGATTATCTGCAAAAAATATTGGAGTCAATCACCAATGTCCTAAGATCTTTTTTCACACAATTCACTTTTATCTTTGAAAGGGCCCCTGCAGATATACACCACCCAACAGCAGCAAGATCCACAGTGCTATAGCGATAAAATTGAGGAGGATTTCGTAACCAATGAAGATCAAGTCATGGAACATTTGTTGGAAATTGAACACTCTTGTAAGATATATACAAAGAACATTGAAGAAAGAACTAGCTTTCTTTCCTTATGCTAGAACATTCGAATGGAACTTACGAGAACTTTCGGACGATTGTATTTACTAGAACCTTCTAGAAGAACTTCCTAGGTTATTTAAACGGCTTCTTTGTAACTTTGAATCAATCTACGTATATGTCTGAGCTGTTTGAATCAGAAAAAAGTCCTCTTTCTTTGACTGCAAAGTCAAAGCTTCAATAACATTACGGTGATCAGTTTGGAGTTTTTTCGCCGGTTATTTTACATACTGAAGATGACGGATTTTCTGCATATACTGATTTCGTCTACTAAAATGTAACAAGGAATTGTCGAATGGATTCAAGCTAAAGGAACTTACGATGTCTTTTTTTGTCGTGGTGATGGTTACTAGTTTCATTATCGAGCTGCGTTTCCCAAAGTCAGTTTGGAGTTGAACTCATTTTATTTGGTTCGGGTGTTAAAGCAAAGGAGACAGGGATGAGAATGAATGGATTCCTTTCATTTCCAATCCAACAAATTTTACTGTTGACTAACTATTTTTCAGGCTTACTTTGCAATGACACTCAATTACCCGTAAAGAATGATGACGTAATAAAATGATGATAATGTCTTGCAAAGACGTTTAGAAGTAAGTAAAATAGTAATTATATATTTCTTCAAATCACTGAGTATGTGCTATGCGAATGTGGAACTTGAACAATGACAGTTGCGAGAAACAATAAAGATGGTTCAAAGTAAATTTTCCCAGTTTGACTTCTGTTCAAAATTTTTTATTCTATCTTGGATTCGAAATTTGCATAGTTAATTTGATGGTGAAATGCAATAAAAGTACATATAGGTCAAGTCCTTGGCTGATTTTACAACTGTTACAACTTTGATGACGTCATCAAAAACAAATAGCTTCCGGTGTATATTTTTATTGGCCCATCTTGGATTTGAAATTTTCATGGTCAATTTAGATTGAATGTGAAATGAAAGTTGAGGTTAAGCAGTTTGATAGCTTTATCTACAAAATCCTGTCTAAATAGCTAATAAATAAATAACTGAAAAAACAAAAGTAGCGAGAGTCAAAAGGACCGACTATAACATATTTAGAAAATTCCGTTTGTCTTAATTCCTAGCCTACGTTCCAGAGCCCTTACTATAAGAGTCCGGGGCTCATACTATGAATTCCCTGATCGAGAGAAAACAGGGTTTATTCCAAGGAATCTTTATCACTGCACATTTTGAAAATTTTTGAAAATTTTGACGACCACACCTATCAAATTAACTGTAAGTGAAATTATCGAATTACACCAGCTCTCACCCTAGCTTTACAAGAGATTTCGAGGAGGAAAAGTGTTATAGGTTTAAACAAGTTTTTGAGAACAAAGATCTCAATGGAAGATGAGGAACAAAAAACTAGATGGCTTCTAGATACTGAAATCGATAACATTTTAGAGAAATTCCATAGATTTTGATCATTGTTACTGCTATGTTCTCATTTTTGATATTGTAATGCTCTTTTATAAGCTTTTTTTATGTGTCTACGGGTAGTTGCTGCAATTTTACTTTTTCACTACCCAATCTCTTTTTGTAATTTTTCACTGCACAAAATTTGAGTTTATCGCTGCACAATTACAATTTATCACTGCACGAATTGGTTATCACTGTACGTTAAAATAAACCCTGAGAGAAAAGGACTGGATAAAGTGTGTGTAAAAAATCACATAGCTTCACCGAGTATACAGATCTACAATCTCCAAAATTGTCTGGTTTTATGAATTGAACCATCATAAAGCTCATTATTAATTCGAAACATCTTTGCCACTTCGAGGGAATGAGGAAGGGTGACTGAGGATGTACTAAAACGATTTGCTGCAACTATTTCGTCCCATTTCCGTTCATGGTGTTGTTGATCATGGGTTACTGAAAGGGCTATCAAAATGAGGAATAATTTGAGAGGCTTAATGAAATTTTCACTTTCTCGATGAGGTCTAATTCGAGGGGGCTTTTGCGATGAGGGGGGGGGATGTCAACAAGACAGGGCCTGCGAAACATATTTGAAAGTGGAGGGGCTAAAATATCAGAGTTTTGAAAGGGTCTAGTAAATGCCGCCACCATGGTTGCCGGCAAGAAAAATGTCCGAATTATGGCATATTAGGGATGGCCAGAAACTGTATCTTACTGACTCTGCCTGGAGGAAAACCCGAGGCAATATTTTCAATCTTGCTTTCATCAATTATGTCACATAGTTTCGTCTATTGTAATGTTGAAATGAAATAGGAAAGATCTTGCAATGTTTTAAAATAAACTTTTTACTGCAGCTCAAAATCTAACTTCTTATGTAAAATGAAAGCAAAGTCGAAAGAATAAACGAACCACAGTTTAACAAAAAACATTTACATTGAAATGTCAGCAGAAAAACTATCAACTCAAAACAAGAGCGACTAAAAACAACTAAAAAACTCTTCATTTGAAAAAGCTATCAAACTGTGCTGGTGAAAAAGAGAGTTAATAGAATTTTTAATCACGTCTAGATTTTCTTTTTCTTAGTAGGAAGGAATTGATTATTAATGCAATGAAAATTTGAAGCTTTTTTGATGATTCTTTCCAAGAACAAATCTGCCGATCACTTCTGACATTCTCAAAAATTTTCTTGCCAGCAGTTTTTTTCTTTCAACAGCTGATTTCTTTCTTTTTGTAACGTATTTGTCTGTTAAAAAGTCTTTTTTACTAAGTTTAAGCCGTGTATAATGTAACTCCGTTATTTGGTGTTGGTACCATGTTATTCTGGATAAGGTTTATCGATCAATTTCCTAAGCCAAGCTAATACTCATGGTACAACTTGGATTATGACAGAATTTTGCGATCAAACTCCCATGCTCAATTTATTATTTTAATTACATATTCGTTATGGTCTCTTGTGCAATGTTTCCTCACGTATTTTTTGTATCTGCTCCATTAGATTATGGGCAATGCGGGAAGTCCTTTGGCCTCCTAAGGGTAAATATGTGTGTTTTGTGGCGTTTTCATTCCCTTGGTTAATCTAGGGGTATTTAAGATTTTGGCATAGCTTGAGTCTCACCTTGCTTGGTGAATCCACAATAAAAGTGGGCTCTTTTATTTTCCCAGCCCTTCCTCCCTCATTTTGTTTTCTTATGGAAGATGCATTTTCAGTTTAGCTTTGAGTTTGGAGTTTCATACCTTTAGGCATCTTTTATGCTTTTCGGCGTTTTTCGATGCTACTAGGTAGGACTGGTGTGTCGGCTATTAGTAGGGAAAAAAGGCTTTTCCTGTCTATTCCCTCCCAATCATCAATCAGTAATTTATGGTAGGTTGAGCGATTTGCACCAATGCGCCAACGGCCCAACTCGCTCTCCATGTCATGTAATGTCTATGTCAGTTTTTCTGAGGGAGTTTTATGCCCTTTATATTGCATTGGTATTTCATTCCCGACTAAGTAGATTAACCATGGTAAAGAGATAGCTACCAAGCTTAAGCTAAGGTCGTATTTAAGGGAATAATAAGCACAGTTACTTATAGCAGGTGACCCCCACCCCCCGTTTGGTCACATGGTATGGCAACACAAATCGGGAAACAAAAAGAGGCTGGTAGCCTCGTTTTAAAAAACGCGCGGTTTCCACTCGAATTTTCATCACAAAATGGAGGATGCACCGTTGAGATCCAAAAAAGTACTTTCAAGATAGAAGCCAGATAATGATGGCTTTTTAAAGAATCTGTTTCCCATGTTTTCTTGACATTAGCTGAAATGGCATTTTTGCAAGCGGGGTCTAGACTCAGGTCCTCCGAGGTGCATTCAAATGATTTCAACAAGTATCGTTCTTCAGCCGTCACTGAGGCTGGCAAGATATTTGAATTGCGTAAAAGGTCTAAGAGATGCTGGAAATGGATATTAATAAACCTATTTTTTGCTTTGACTTTTTACTTTGGAATGTAAGTATATATTTGAGATCAGTTTCCAGCTATATTTCCGTTACCTTTTTTGCAAATAACGTTGTTATAGGGCTTTTTCGCGTAGTTATTTGAGGTCATACCAGCATCAAATTCACATCGTCAAATTCACATTCGTCATCGTGATACTGAAGATTTAGTTGAATTTTTAATAGAAACTGTTGAAGTAAAATTGTTTAAATAAAAACTTTAAGTCTGATCAATTCAGTTAAAGTTCAATGGTTAAATGCAAGGGAATCGTATACAAGGAACGAGTCAAGAACCGAACTGATGAAAGGACTTCTGCAATAAAAAAGCGAAATAGAAATCTTCTTATCTATAGTTCTGTGCTCTTTTGTGATGCAAGTGACTCAAATATTTCGTAGCATATGTAATAGCTTCATCCCCAGATTCGAAAACTTGCTTGTACTGCTCGAATTGTTTTGAAATGACAATAATTAGTAAGAAATATGTTATTTCCAGCGTTTCCTTTCAATTTCCACTCAATACAATCTTTTCCTTGCCAATTTATTTTTTGATGTTTTTAGCGGGCCTAGGCATGCGTATTTTCCATCCCCAGATTCATCCCCAGATTCGCGTTTTGTATAATATGGGCCTAAAAACAGCTTGAAATGTGTCAAAATAACAATAGCTTGAAAGAATTTGTAGTAATATGTGGTTCTCTGTCAATTTCTACTAGATAAATGTCACTTTTCTACCACTTTGTCTCCAATGTTGCTAGTTGGCCTAGGCAGTACTTTTCATCCCCAGATTCGTGGCCATAGGTATTAAAAAAAAACAACCACAGGGATACAATTGCCAATTTCAAAAAAATGAAACAAGTTCTCTTGGTTCAAGATATTTTTTATCATTGATAAAAATATGATATAGCATTCTACGGAAGCATTCAAAAAGTGATAAGAGGGATGACTTTTGTAGGCAATCAAAGCGTAATATAAGTTGCAAAATAGTGAAATAGTGCATTAATTTTCCTTTAGCAAAGTTGATAGTGAAATTTTCCTTTAGTAGTAGAATAGTGCACTAATCATTGTCATCTCGACACATTTCAAGCAGTACAAGCAAGTTTTCGAATCTGGGGATGAATCTGGTGCTGAATGGTACGCGGTATAGCATATGGCTTCTTTAGGTAATGATGTTTAACTATGTATTTAAACATATTATGAGATTTGTGCATTTTTTCTAGAATACACAAGAGTCTGGAGAAATATGACTTTGTCATGAAAGAATACAGCAACAAAATTGGTATGGTTTTTTATTTGATTTTAGAACATTTGATGTTACATATACATGCCATTTGGTATGGGATATCCAAAATGCAAATCAGGTAAAGACATTCTTTTTCTTGCAGACCTGTTTTTATGTCTCTTTTTCCTGTGGAATTCTTTGGCCAATTTGTACCTCTATCTGTCGCCAAGTTTTCAAAATGAGGTGGTTGTGCTGAGTCCTGAGCAGCAGCGATTGCTGAAAATAGATCCAAAAGGTATGAAATTTTCTATTTTATCAGTACTTTTTTATCAAGCAGCAAGGATAAGTTACTGTTACTGGCTTGCTTTGAATAAGAATAATGATGAATATCCCACAAGTTTCTATGGCAAAGCTTGAGTCTTTGTATACTGTATTTCAAGAGAGAGGTTTGGAACCAAAATCAACAAGCATATGGTGGGCAGTAGGCAAATACACATGAAAGACTCTTTGCAAAAACTCCACTGGGAAGTTGTTAGCAATATTTAACAAGACTAGAAAGGGGCTTTTAAGGTAATCATTCCTTGTGTTCTCTCATTTAGGCTGTTTTTATCACCAGTTTTATGAAAATGATCCTCTTATTTGTGATGATGCACAATAAAGTTTTGTTCCACAATGTTTCTTGGAAAAATAGAAGCTATGTATGTTACACTTTTGATGTCTTTCTGCCTTTAAACAATCTTGCCTACTGTCATGTTGTTTGTTTTTCTAAAAATTTCTTTCTGTTACTTTGAATGTTGTCATGTTAAACCTAAAAAGTTAGTGGGAAACAGAATGGGAGAGGAGGGCCAAAACAGAGATGGAAAGACTGTACAGGCGAAGGCTTAATGTTAGAAGGTCTCAATGAGATGGGCACCAAAGACAGAGGGCATTGGAGAGCCTGGATCTGAGAAGCTGACCCCAGAAATGTATGGGACTAAAGCTGGAAAAAGAGGGGGAAGAATAATTTTTATGAAAGCAATTACAATACCAAAGCAAAGTATTTTGATAAAATTGAATTTGCTGAAGAGTTTAACAGGGAGTCAAATGAAAGCCAGGCAGTGTTTTCCCTCAACTTCTTTTTAAACTAATTCTCAACAGCAATTAAAAAAATAAAAAAGGATGCTTGATAAGTAACTAACAAGGTGGGACCACAAATCGGCATGGCAATGTTTCTAAATCTAATGAATGCAGTAAACATATCGTCTAACATTGCTTATCATCAGGCAGGCAGTGTCAAACATGGTTTGGTTAAAAAGTATCGCATATGAAATATATATATCGAACTTGGAAATCTTTCAAAAGACTTTCACAAACCATTTTGTGCATAGTGTTAAGTACCCTGGGTACCAGACTCACTATATAAGAAGTGAGTCTGGTACCCAGGGTAAGTGTTAAGCTGATCTCAGACGGGTCACGTGTCGGAGCTGTATTAAATTTTGGTGTTGTTATTAATTTATTTCCAATATTTTGGAATGATATCCTTCTTCATTGACAAAATTAGAATAGTAGATTCTTAGACACGGACAGATTTAGCGGGGGAGGGGTTGTAGGGGTGCGACACTCCCCAGATATTTTTGTGTCCTTCGGTAAATTTTGGTTTCATTCCGTAAAAATCACTTTTTGGTATCCGGTGGTAGCAAAATAGCGCCAATAGTTTACTTTAGTTATCTTTTTATCTTCTTTACCTTAAGTTAAAACCAGGTTTTGAAAATGGGCGTGTTCATCATTTTCCAGTGACCTGAAGGGTGTGGCTCTAAAATCCAATTAGTATTTAAACCCCCTCCCCCGCAATCATTGCTGCTTAAACCCGTCCCTGTTCTTAGATAACAGCCTATCTGACTATAATCAGCATCCTTAAAATAAGCTTAATAGATTTGTACCTTTGATCTTGCTTTTTGTGATAACTGTAAATGTCTCAGTAACACATCAAATTACTTCAATGCTTTTAGATTTAACAAAAAATTTTCCCGCCTGTTACAGACAAATCTTTTGTTGTGAAGAAGCAACTCATTGAGCAGCCACAGACACCAACTTCCAGAGGACCTCCATCTTGGCCTAAAAGAAGACAGCCTTCTCGAACAACTTCCAGTGGAACATTGGTTCAAGATACTACACCAGAGAGATGTTCTTCGTCTTACTCACCAGGATTAGTGGCTGATGGAAGAGGCCTGGGCAGCCATATGAGCCAATCACCTACAACTAAGGTAGCTCCTTCAATTTGAATTATTATTTTGCATGAGTCGATGACATTGCTATATATTTCTCAACGCCTTTTGCCCTGTTTATTCACTGTATCAAGAAATGTGTAACACATCAAAGGGGTATTTTTTCACAGTGCTGGACAAGAAGCATGTCCTTTTAAAAAAATGTGCACCCCCAGCATTATTACTGACGAAGAAGCCAGCCTGATTTAATCTTGTTTTTGTTTCATGTTTCTTGACAAGCATTATAGGCTTCCATGATCTTAAACTGTCAACTGATTTTGGTAGAGCGTAAAACTTCTATAAGACCTCTTTAACCCTGAAGACCGCAATTTAAATCTGTACAACCGCTTTCAAGTGGTAAAATTATATCAGATTAAAGTTGGTCGATTTAATACTCTTGGCCAACCGATATATGCAGAGCATGCGAAGCTTTGGACATTTTTCCTATATTTTTCATCAAAACATGCTGAAAGTCGCTTGGAATTGCACACTGATTAGGAAATAATGTCTCATTTGAAGCTGAATGAAACCAATTTGTAATTGGATGTGTTTCAATGTGATTTTTATGTTTGTTGGTTGGAAAGAAAGTTTGATTCATAAAAACTGATTCATAAGGTTTCCAGTATTTGATACTCGAGGCTAGTGCATCTTTTGTTTGCGAAAATGTAGAAAGCCAAACTAAGGGAGATGGTGGGGAGACGTCAAGAGTTAATCGTTGCAGTGCTTTCGCTAAAGATGCTGGGGGAAGGGGGCCGGAGGGGGGGCAAGTGACTGCTACTTGTCGCTTCATTTCTAAAAACGTTAATCAGGGTACTTTTCGAGGGGCGATTCACTCTTGCAAATAGCGTACGAGATTTTGCCTAAAACAGAAGGATTTCCGAGGATTTTCAGATAAAACAATAGGATTTTCACAAAAGGGGTACGATATTTTCTTAGAGTCATTTGCCCCTCGGTACTGCTCTTCTACTACAAACGCTGTTTTCTGATATAAATGATATTTTGACAGTCAAATTCATTTTGATAACAACACAGGTCGAATGTTGAATGTGGTCCATATTCCGTTAAATGTCCTATTCACATTGATACATTGTCTTCAAAATTGAAAGCATGCGATAGAATTCCGCGTTCAGGAAAGACTGAAGTGGTCGTTAAAGCAATCAAAGTACTGTTTTTCAATACCACATGGCGTTGCCTGGATACTGCAGTTTAGAAGTTATTAAGAGTGATAATGTAATCAATTGGTAAACAATCCCACTAACATTTGTAAGTGCAATTTATTTGCTGTTGATCTCTGAGCGGAAGGGAGGAGGGTCAGATTGAAAGAAATGTAATTTGATTTCTTTCCACAATCCTTAACGTTATTTTGGGAAATTAATAAAGTCAATCGTTATAATCATCAGTCTATAATGTTGGAAAGACATTAAGGCGAAATTAGGCAACTGAATGGTGCTTGATCTGTCATTTGTATACAATTCTTTCGCTGCATCAAAGTACTTATCATTTCCTCTCTTTTGATGGCGGATGGAGAGACAATTTGCCCCACGGTGAACTAAACACGTTGGTAATGCTGATTGCGAAAGATCCATTCACTGAGAGTGAATCTTCGTAGAGGCCCGAGCACTAAATCATCAGGCGAGGCCCAAACTCAAATGGATTGAAAATCCCTGCCAAAGCCAATACAACGATTTCTTTCACATTTTCAGTGGTGCGAGGCGTAGCAGTGACTCAGGGTTACCAGATGGGATTTACAAAAGAAGGCTAGACGGGTATGCAACTCACGCCAAAATGCTCACTAAAAGGCCAAATGAAAAAATTCCCAAAAATACATTGCACGGGCACTGTTTGAATTTCTACGCATGCGTCTATCAAATAATCTCTTAACTCAAATAAGAAACTTACTTCTTCTTTAAAAAAACTCATTTGCTGATAGTTAAGCCCCGTTAAAACGCTCTCAACATTTCACTGAACATCGCTCAACATTTGTACAGTGATGTTTAGTGATGTTTAGTGATGTTGAATTGGGGTGTTAAAACGCTCTTAGTGTGACTAATAGGTGATAATATTTGACAATTGGGTATCGCTATATAGTAAACTACTAATTACTCCATTGTTTTTACTCTTTCAATTTCGAATTTTCGCTGAAAAGGCCAAAAAGGCCAAATTTAGGCATGCAAAGTTTCCAAGCACTCTAACTATGAGTAAAGTCAAATTGGAAAGTTTGGTCTGAAAAGGCCAATCTGGTAACCCTGTAGCAGTCTACGAAATGCTGTGCGTCTTGGAAAAGACCCCTTTTGTTTTCAAGAAAATTTCCCAAAATCCCTTTGTTCTTAAAAGATCCTTACGTTGTTCGGAAAAAATAAAACAACCCTCGGTCACTAGCACACACCTCTTCTCTCCAAACAAAGTTATTTTATGAAATTTAAAAAGCTTTGGTGTTTTAAATTAACTCCTGTCATATAATTGTGATATTTAACTATAAAACTGCCATTTTTTTGCGAAACTTTCATATTATTCAAAACCCCACGTAAACAAAGGGGAGTTCCAAAGACTTTGGAAGGGATGGTAGATCGAATGTTGCAGCACCCCTTCTGATTTACCATGGATCAGTTGATCGTTGATAATTGATTCTAATGATGAAGCGGTGTCTGAAGTGACGTCACGAAATGGTGTAATTGTCAGTTACTTATGATTAAAGGCTCTTGCCCAACCGGCATGCTTAGCGGCAGTTGTCTTGAGAAATTGACTGTTTTGTATTTTCATGCAGTATGATATTAGGCCGGTTCTTTGAATTATAGTCGCAAAGCGTGTCGGTTGCGCAAGAGCAAGTCAGGAAATGCGGGCATGAAAGTCGCAAAGCGTGCCGGTTGCGCAAGAGCAAGTCAGGAAATGCGGGCATGAAAGTCGCAAAGCGTGCCGGTTGCGCAAGAGCAAGTCAGGAAATGAGAGCATGAAAGTCGCAAAGCGTGCCGGTTGCGCAAGAGCAAGTCAGGAAATGCGGGCATGAAAGTCGCAAAGCGTGCCGGTTGCGCAAGAGCAAGTCAGGAAATGCGGGCAAGAAAGTCGCAAAGCGTGCCGGTTGCGCAAGAGCAAGTCAGGAAATGCGGGCAAGAAAGTCGCAAAGCGTGCCGGTTGCGCAAGAGCAAGTCAGGAAATGAGGGCATGAAAGTTGCAAAGCGTGCCGGTTGCGCAAGAGCAAGTCAGGAAATGAGGGCAAGAAAGTTGCAAAGCGTGCCGGTTGCGCAAGAGCAAGTCAGGAAATGAGGGCAAGAAAGTTGCAAAGCGTGCCGGTTGCGCAAGAGCAAGTCAGGAAATGAGGGCAAGAAAGTTGCAAAGCGTGCCGGTTGCGCAAGAGCAAGTCAGGAAATGAGGGCAAGAAAGTTGCAAAGCGTGCCGGTTGCGCAAGAGCAAGTCAGGAAATGCGGGCAAGAAAGTCGCAAAGCGTGCCGGTTGCGCAAGAGCAAGTCAGGAAATGAGGGCAAGAAAGTTGCAAAGCGTGCCGGTTGCGCAAGAGCAAGTCAGGAAATGCGGGCATGAAAGTCGCAAAGCGTGCCGGTTGCGCAAGAGCAAGTCAGGAAATGCGGGCAAGAAAGCCACGCGAGTTATGAATAGCAATTCACCGATTCAATTTAAGGTCACGTCCATTTATGTACGACATCTTCAGCTGCGATTAGGATTTATCATCACTCGCTTAGCATGAGTGCAATTTTTCTTAATGTTTGACACAAAACTTAAACTTTTTACAGCTAAAAGCTCGCTGGGTGAAACTGTTCACTCACAGTCGCTTATCTTGGTCAAATCCCTTATAAAAGTTTTATCTTCATGTCATCATGAAGTTCGTGTCAAAAGCATCGCGAAACCTCACATTAAGGCTAACGCCTGGTCCTTGATCCGAATTAAAAAATAAATATTAAATACAAAGGAGTTTAAAGTAGTCTTCAAAACCAGAGCCTGAATTGAATTGATGTTTTGAATGAATCACATACGTAATGTAGACTGTAATTTTTGCATAACGAATAGGCCTGTCGAAATTATGGCGGGGTCTGGAAAAAGGAAATAAGATCTAAGTCCGACTTTGATTCTGGCCTAGAGTGTTTTTGCCTTTGACCGTATTTACTAGAGCTTACTTGATTGACATAGGGGTGTTTTATGAACTACTGATAAAGAATTAATGCTTGGAGGTTCTTATTGGCCCAGATTGTAGTGCTTTGCAGACTTGATAGATTAGAAAGGGTCAAGTTATTCGATAGCAAGGGCAATCCTGGGGACTACGTTATTCAGGTTGGAACACCCCAAAATTAGCCACTGATATATTTTATCACAAGGAATGTCTGACTTGTGAAGCAAACACTTGCTCCTTTTAGTGGGGGATTGGTGTTCCTTTCGATGGTAGGCAAAAGGTCGATAACTTCTTCACAAAATCTTATGAATGTATCTTATTAAGACTTTTTTATAAACGTAATATCAACATGAAAGTCTGAAATTATCTTGTTGAGTAACGGAAATTGGCTTCTAATAATTGTTTCTTCTTTTAAAGGTCTTAAACAGGTCATTCGAGACGACTCCAACACGAGGCACTGTCAAGAAAGCAAGTTCGTCGTCGAGTAGGTGAGTATGATGGTTTGTCGTACTCACGAAAGTTCTTTGTCACTTGTTTTGAAAGGCCTGCCCAACCTTTTGAACATTTGAGTAAATGGTGTTGTGGTGACCCGACCTTAGTAAAAAAGGTGGGATGTTGCTCACTTTTCTTCAATCAAAATCTTCGGTCAATTTTTACATACATTCTCACGAAACTAAACCACTTTCAGTTATTTGTTATGACAATAGCAAAGGGGGCTTGGCAATACATGTAAACCTTGTGACCATGTAGCAAATACAAGTTAAACGAATATCTGGAAATGTGAATTCGAGTAGCTTTTTATCGGATAATAACTCAACGCAGTACAGGCGGATGTAAAGGAAAGATTAACTCACTAGAGGGAGAAATCCACGAGATAGTATATTGCAGGGGCGGATCTAGAAAATATTCTGACTGTCGCACATAAGGGTGTGGTCGGAAATATCATTATTGACCACACCCATAGTTTTTAAGGATATTCGCCCCCTTCTCATTTGAGCAATCGACACGCACATTAAATTGGCTTTATTTAGAACGTTGTCAAACGTTGTTTATTCCTTATCTGAGTTTTCAATTGATACTACAGAATCATTTGTGTTGTTTCTTAGCCAAGCGTAAAGCAAGAAAGCGTATTGACGGTTTTCCTTTCATAATCAGGCAAACATTCGAGTCGTCTCTCTCAATTTGTTTATGGTATACGATAACAAACCAGGCCACGCAAAAAATGGAAAACATCATTGCAATGAATTTTCAGAACAAATTTACCGTGCTACCAAATAGAACAAATTTACACAAATATTCATAAAACCTGCATTAATAACTAATATTATTTAATAGCTAAACCAAATCAGCGTGTAAACATGTATTTTACTCCGAAGAAACCCCTTCGAATTCAGGGGAATACCCAAGCAAGTAAACATTACCCGGAAATATCTGAAAGCTGATAAAGAACTGAAAATCCACATTGAAAAGATTCACTTTGAAAGTTTTGTCTAAGTGAAAATTTTTCTCTGCCAACGTCCTGAACATTATTTCTTCGCCAGAGCCAAATCGCAGGTATCGCCCACTGATTATCACCCCAGTCCAGTGCATTTATTGACATTAGTAGGCCCTCGATCCATGGAGGAGGTAATGAACATTGAAACTTGAAAATATCCCGTGTCGAATGTTACTCTGAAAATCTAGCGACCTTTGTCTTCCAAATTACCAGGTTTAACGTATTCGTTTTACATGTAGCCAGCCGACTCCATAACACAAAATTCCTTTTCTCCAGTGAAAAGCTTGCCCATGCCAGGCATAAATAAGCTCAAAACTGCACAATACACGCAATGAGAACGGATTAATCTTAGCCCAGTGGTGCGACCTTACTAAAAAACATACTGTGCACCGAAGTTCGCACTATCTAGCAATTTGATTGGCTAAATATTTTAAAACAAAAGCTGTGCGAATCGGTGCGAACGTGCTACTAATCATACTGTGCACCGAAATGCCCTAATCTAACTACATTGGTACCCTGTTGTTTTTTAGTCAGGATGCTTCAAGATTTGAATTAGATTGAATCAAGATCAAGATAGAATTAGAGATTGTGTTTAAGATTTTGCTTCTGTTTATGGCCAGGTTTAGATCATGCACGATTCAGACCCTGGATCTTCCTGCACCTGCACGGTGTTCAGTTGTCAAATATAACTGAAGCATAATTCCCAAGTAAATAGTATCAAAACACAAATGAGAAATTTGCCAATAAGCGAAAAAGTTGTTGTTCAGCGAAAACCTCTCTCGAGACCAATTCTTAGTATAATTTTAAAAGTTTGACTGTCGCATGTGCGAACAGTGCGAACGTCTAGATCCGCCCCTGGTATATTGCATTTACAATAATGAAAATATTTGACATAGGCCTATTATAAGAATGGCAACACAGCATTTAGTGTTCCGTACTCCATTGATGAGCCACAAGGGGGCTGCAGCATCTCTAAAGTTATGCATCAATTGATAAGAGTTGCGTTTATCGAGTCTTGTTACTACAATCGACTCGCTTAGACCCACTTCACTTAAAGTTACATTGCTGATCCAGTGCATAAGGTTTTGGTCCAATTATGCAAAAATGTTCAATTCAGCTTCGTTTACAGTTGCACTTTTTCTAGGAACATTGAGTGTGACTTTAAACGGAATTTATTGTACTTCCTGTCCTAATTTAGTTCGAGCTCTCACTTTAATTATTTATGCAGAAATATTTTTAGTCATTTTCCTTTCTCCAATAGTACCTTCCTTTCTGAAACACTGAGCCTTTTCATTTCTTCAATAGTACCTTTCGTTTCGGGTATTGACGTGTAAGGTCTCGTTAGTTAGTGTTCAAATGTAACGGTGTGATATCATACCGCACTGGACTTCCTTTATAAACAGAGACATAGTAGGAAGGTAATGATAAAACAGTAGGAAGAGAAAATGGTATGAAGTAAAAAGGATAGCTATGAAGTGATAACGGTGTCACGTATACATCTGAGGAGTGTAGAGTAAAGAGGACAATTTTAGTGTCGAACCAGTGTTTAAAATCTTGACAAGCCACCAAAGACTTTTAAATGTGTCCATGTTCAGCAGGGACCGAGGGGCTATAAAGAGTTTCGGTACAACATGTTGGATTGTACTGGGGAAGCCCCTCAGTCCCCCGGTCCCGCATTTCCTTTATTTTCAGATACGTATTTCCGTGTTTGTATTTTCTTTAATGCTAAGCTCTTTACTTTAAATAATTTATTTTTATCTTTTGATCTAAGCCTCACTCTGTCCCTGATATACCCACCAGCGTAAGCGTTGTTTTTTGGCTCTTTTAGCATACTGGGGCTGCATCATTCCCCTGGACGCTCGCCAGGACGATCACCAGGTAACCGCAAGCCTGTATAGCCTATTACGTAGTTCTACGCGCAATTCAATAACGGTTTATCATTTTAAAGCAAAGAATGTTGATGACGTTTCCAGACCATCACCACAATGTCTTTCCAGTTTATCTGTGATTATTACTATCAGTCAGGAAGGATTTGGGTTTCTTAATCTAGTCATTCTCCTACGACATTAAATGGCAGTCTTCTTTCTAATTAGAGCTCGGTGCATTTTTAGTTTAAGTTTCCCAAATGAGGTGTATTGGTTGCAAGGCCAACAAAAATGGTATAAAACATGAGATAAGCACCAAATGCTGAACAGAAATAGCATAGTTTATCAATATGCAAGTCGAGAATAACCTGAGAGGGAAGGTGGCTTTTTTCTGTTCCTTGTTTTTGATACATCTTAAAGAGAAAAAGTCTTTCTGTCCACATAACTCTTGATTCTTTGCTTAAATTCTGCCAAAAGTCATGGTAAACTACATGAAATTTTGGTCATATTCTTTTGCATTCTTCTATTATAAGACCAGCATTGATATTTTGCAGTCAACCCAGAAGACCAGATTACGGACGCAGACTCTCTCAGTCGATACCTGAAAACACAAGAAGAGAAAGATGCAATCACAAGACGAGGTAAGACTTCTGAATTGAAAATACCAAAATATTATCTTATCTTAATATTGTTGCCAATAGCCCCTTTTCGTTAACAAAGCTTCAATAAATGCCAAATGTATGGGTACACTATACTAGTTTGATGTAAATCGCCAATAGAACCTCCTTCCCCTATTAAATCATCAGGTTCACTGCTTTGGTGACGTCCGTTTGATCTCCGCTAGACAGATGTATCGCAATATCTCCTGTATATATCTTTTTATTACAAAGGAGAGGGTCATCGCACTTTCACCAAATAACTATTTAAATTTGTCAATAGTGTGCAAACTTCAGGTTCTTCAAGGGTTTTTGCAGAAAATAAAGCACGTTGAGCGCTCCACATATGTCAATCAAGATGCATCAAAATTTACTAGTATCATTGCAAAGAGCCTTTTTCAAGGCTGGATATAGTCAGTTTAATTCAGATAAATTCAGTCAGATAAAAACATTAGGCTGAGATTTGCCCAAATATAAGAACAACATAAGAAATAAGGCAGGCTGAGATTCAACAAAACTCTAGAAAACAAGTAATCCGCAAAATTCTTTGTACCATCTTCTAAACTCAACAAAGAAAATACCACAAAAAAGTCGAAAAATAAAAGAATTTCAACAGAACAACTCAAAGCGATTAGCAAAAAAAGCATCAATTACGTTATCAAGCACATGTTCCGGACAATACTATGCAGAGGAAATTCACGATTTTAAAAATGAAACAAAATGAGCAACACGTGAGGCTGAAATTATACGAAAAAAATATTAAAGGATTGTACCATTCAATGAAGCCAATAAGATTCAATTGAACACAACACGTGAGTATTGGTCTTGATGTCTTGATGTGTTAAGGTTATTGACGTTGCTATGTAGACAACTTAATGAACTTGTTCTGATGAACGAGCCACTGTTGATGCAACCAAGGCGCATGCGCAGTAGTGTATGAGGTGGACCAGCGTAATCTTTGACTTGAGGGGATGATGGTTTTTAGAAGACCTTCACTCACCGACATTGAATCTCATGGCCCCCAGAAATTCTCAGAATTTCTAAGACTCTGAAATCGTTTTTTGTTTAAAGCAACGGCGACCGATAGTTTTGCCATTCACGTTTTAACAATTGTGGCCAATAAAAAAGAATTTTATACATTGGAAAATAACAGCACGGTGAGGGAGTTAGAAAGGGGAGAAAGGTTGTTCAGTATGGCAATAGGAAGGAATTCATTGTTGACAGCCTGTTTCAAATTGCGTTTTTAAAATGGCGGCATATACCTTATAAAATCCTGTAAATTGATTTATATTTCTAGCCCAGTTTGAGGGAAGTTGGAGTACTTCCTTTTGGAATTATGGCCGAGGTGCGCTAGACTTTCTGCCGAGTTTTGGCATTTACCAGTTGGCAACAAGGTTCGTATGGATTGTCTTGTTGGGAAGATGCACGAGCAAAAATCTTAAAATGTGTGAGAAAACCCCCCGTCCGATCGTCAAAGTGTATGCCCAATAATGATTTCGCTCCATACGCATGTCCTTTGACGACAGAACGGGGGGTTGCCCCACACACCAAAAAGCTTTCTTCTGTTCGTCTCCCCAACAATGTCTTTATAACCCGTATGGTGATATAATGTAGTATAAAGAGTCATACATAAATGACGTCACCAAAAATTTTAAGATTTTTAACCCTCTCTCCCCCTTGTCACTACTGTGTCACTAGCTTTCTAACCCCCCTGTATTATATAACCAGTTGCGTCACTTCTCACACTACCCCCCCCCCCCCCACCGCTGAATATTCATTTGAAAAGGAACAATAAAGCAATAATGCATAATTTATTCGTAGCATATATTTCATTTTCACAATTACTCGCCATCAACAAAAGCATTAACTGAAATTAGGTCAGAAAGAGGTGGCAGGGGTAATAGACACCCTCAATTCTAACCAATAATTCTTACCAATTTGCCTCAAACAAGCTGAAAATGTAGTTGGGTTCGTGTAAAATTTCCTATGAGAAGGACTTATACATAGAAAATTGACCTTGAATGTTGATCCCTTCTCAAAAAGTGGATCTTATTAAAACGCAACCACTCGGCACATTGTTTTCTTCGCGTGAACCTGTTTATATTTAACGCTGCTATGATAACTTTCATTCACAACTTATGAGAAATGTTGGGTGTATTTTAGACAGTCGTAGACAGGGGCATCGCCAGCATGGGGTCTTAGGGAGTGTTTTATATAAAAACAAGGAATGTATGGGCAATAAAATGTTATGATATGATCACGAGGAAGCTGTCGTGAGGCATCATAAAGCAGTTTTGATAAAGATTTCGAAGAGCGTTTTTCTGTGCCTTCATATTCTGCTGGAGATAAAACCTGTTGCTACGTACTATCCCTTCCTTTAAGTAAATAGCAACTTGAGTGAAATTTTCCTTGGAAAAGATGATCAAATTTTCACCAAGGCTACATCACCAAAGCTTGAAAACCCCCTCCCATCCTCCCTCTCAAAGTGTCACCTTCCTTCACCGAAACCGTAAACCCACCCTCCCCCCTATGGCCCCTAATATGTATCTACTTCTCATCGGTTGTTGTTACTTAATCTATATTAAACTATAATCGTTACCCAAAGTTACTTAATCTACTTGCATAAAAGAATTATTGCAACACCCATGCCTTGTTTTAATTGTCTTTTTGAAGAAGGTTGTAACAGCTTGAGAGTTTTCCCTGAAGAAAGAGTCAAACTTTTCTAGGCTTTGACGAATAAATTAGAATCAATTTTTATTAATATAGTGTCTTATTTATATGTATAACAACTGCCTTGATCAGACTTGAGATCGTTTTTCAGCATTATTACGCCTCAGGTTTCCCATTTGAATATCTTGCAATTTTAGTATCCAGTGTCTAGCAATAAAAACCATGTTGTAGTTCCCTCCTGCTTTTCAGGTCTCCGCAATCATCTGGCCAAAACAGTGATGATGTCAATCAGGTTTTCGAATATGAAACGGTAAGTGTTGTTTTCTCGAGCAGCAGAGCTTTAAGAAACTCAGAGTTTGTATGATGCGTATCAGGCTTATTGCCAAGGCCAGTGAAATTAAAAGAAGCTATATTGCAACACCCATGCCTTGTTTTAATCGTTTTTTTGAAGAAGGTTGTAACAGCTTGAGAGTTTTCCCTGAAGAAAGAGTCAAACTTTTCTAGGCTTTGACGTATTCAAATATCTTTATCTCTTGCTCTAACTTCGACAGTAAGGGATACCGTAAGTCATCTATAAGCCCTCGGGGGGGGGGGCTTGTTTCGCATAAAAAACTTGGAGGGTGGGGGCTTATTCGAAAGTGGGGGTTGGATAAACCCATTGCTGTCGAGGCAAAACCTCAGTCCATGGGGGATTATTCGAGGTTGGGGGCTAATTCACAATAACTATTTTAAGGTAGCGGCTTATTCGAAGGGGGAAACTTATTCGAAGGTGGGGCTTATTCGAAGGTGGAAGTTTATTCAAAGGTGGCAGCTTATTTGAGGACGTACGATACATCACGCCCGAAGGAACGGGGAAGAGGTCTTACGCATTCAATTGTGACTTTATATTCGTCATATAGGCAGTTGAATTTACCCAAAGCAAATAAGTCACTACTTATTCTTTATTGAAAGGATTTGATTGGGGGTTGCTAGGACAACAATTTAGATGTTGCCACAACCTTAAGCCAAAATTTTTTTACTATCTTATTCTATGATAAAACTATTTTCAGTTATATATTGATTTATCGCCCCTAGTCGGTACAGTAGCTACTTGTGCAAACCTTTCCTTATATTTCAGGTTTTCTTGTGTTTCCCTTAACAAATTTTGAATTAATTAATCTTTCATTTCAGATGCGGAGGCAATTGAACATTGGAAAAGCAGAGCTCGACTTTTGGACTGAAAATCTTCGCAAAGTGAGCCTAAGCAACTTTTATAAAAATGAAATTGAGCTAATAGTTTCAAAACGAAAATTTGTCAGAATGCCAGAGATGATCGAAAATGGCAGCTGCTTTTATTGCCCCCATTAGTACATCTTTATTTAAGATATATTAAGACCCCTCGGGTTCTTGTGGGAGGGGAATTGTAAAGAAGGCTTGCATATAGAGTGGGGGGCCCTTTCCATATCCAACCTGATGACTGTTAGTTTCCTAGCTTACGAACTCATGCCTGTTTTGATGTCGTGAACCTTCTGAAAAAGTAGTTTAATGTAAATAAAAAGGGAAAGATAGAAGGCTTTGGCTTGACCAACTTTTGTACGAGATTTTATGACTGGGTTAATAAAGGGGAGGGGGCTTGCTTATAGTTTTTTACTGGAGGGGAAAAACCTGGAGAGGAATGCTCAGTAGATCTTTTGTGAATGTCTTTGTTGAAAAGGGATTCAAGAGTCTTCCTCATTGCAGTGGATAGCAGAGACAATCCTGGAGAAGCTGATCGCAGAAATCAAAACTATCAACGATTCTCTGGCGCAAAATGGAATTACAGAGCTCAAAATTGGATGTAAGTTTTACATTTTTTTATCCATTTTCTATTGTGCTCTATTCAGAGTGCCCCTCTCCATCTTTTCTCTATTCTGGTTGGTTGTTTCGGTTGGTTGCTCAATCCAAGGTTTTTAGCACTGATAGGAGTAGGGTTCATCAGGGGTAGCAGGGTGGTACAGGGGCTCGTAGACGTTTTTGTCCTTGTTATTTCAAGTTTATTGTGCAGGGGTTTATTGTTGAAGGCTTTTCCTTATCTTGTTTATCTTATGTTTGTGTGTAACCTGGACTTCTAAGCATAGATCATATTTAAAAAACTTGCAATTAAGGGATGATTGTATTGTATTGTAGATTATTTAATCTTAGTTTCTGCAATAGTGAATATACACTTATTAAGACTAACATGAAGCAATTTCAAGGATGTTTTGTTTCTTTCGCAGCTGTGAGTGTCAACTCGCTGAGAAACGTAGCCTTAACCAAGTCGCATCTTGTGCCATCTCTTAAGTCCGTCATTCCTTATTTGGACATCACTGCCAATCAAGAATACCTGATAAAGAGACTCGATGGTGAGTAGCGATTGCCAGGATTTTCCAATGTTACTGACAACCCAGAACAGTTGCCCGTTGATCGCATTATGTTCCACACACTAAACGCCTTTACAGCTCTGCCTTTAGGGCATCGATCACTTACTATGACAGACCGGTACCCAGTCATTTTCATTAGAGCTGTTTGATACTTTTTTACAGATTTATCAACCGGAGGATGTTTACGACTGTACAAATGGGACTCTGGTGGACTTCATAAAGGAAAGAATTGGGACCAAGAACTGCCTACAGATGCACAGGTGAAAGCTGCATCCTTGCTATTAGAATATTTTCTAAACAATCTTTTGGTGGTACAAAACTTGTAAATGGCTATGAAAAAGCAAACATTTAGTAAACTAAAGCTTTTCGTCTGACACTCTTCAGAGTTTAAAACGTCAGAACAAAGATCGAAAACTCTACGCTTAGAAATATATATACCCAGTTGTGGATCGAAATAGGCCAATCAGAAACACGAGCACATGACTGTAAAGGTTGACCAATCAGTGCCCCTTACAAAGAATATTTTTTGTTAAATTTTATAGGAATTTTCTCTTCATGTTCACAGTAAGCGTGAAACTTGCAATTGCAACTTAGAACCGTCCTCTTCTACACTACAGAGCATATATGTACAGATCGTCTATACGGAATCGATCACTATAAATCAAACTGCCAAACAATGATTTTAATAAGGAATTTGGTTTAATGTGTAAAAGAATCAAAACTATTTAATACAATGCTTAAGCCAGGGGAACATCATACCATGAAACTGAAACAGTACTCACTTAGCACTTATCAAAGTTTAGAACGCTTTTAACACTCATAGGACGATATATTTTACCCATGGCAAACGTAGACTTGAAATGTTTGTAAAAAAAGAACAAAGTCACATTTCTAGGACTGGATTTATCTTTTTATAGACCATAAAGGCCTTCACATTATTTCACGCAGAAACAAATTCGAATTGTGAAAGCTGTTATCTTATTCTCTACAAAGTTTATTTGAGATGTTTATTGTAGATCATAGCCCATTTGTTCTGCACGTATATGGACACACATTTGCCTTCAAATCCAAGATACCAGGACGGTAATAGTTTCAGTGGACTGCACTTCCTTAAGCCGCCAAGCAAACCAAGTATGTTTCTTTTTTGATATGCTGTTAAACGAACATTGCTTGAATGATAGGAAATCACTGCTTGAATGATCAATAATCACTGCTTGAATGATCAACGATCAGTCCTTAAATTATCAATGATCACGCCTTGAATGATTATCAACACATGTGATGGATCCAACCAAAGTAGACCCCAGTGTACTTAGGGCGTAAACAGCTCAATGGCTGGTTTAAACTTTTATCGACAATAATTTATCTTATTGTCATTAAACTGAAAAAAGAATGATCAAGATATGTAACTGAAATAACCTGAAAGGGTCATATTTATTTCTAGATGATTAACTAAAGAGTCTTTTCACTATCCTCCAGCCCCCTTGGAAGGATCGCCCCCTCTTCTGACATTGTTTTTTACAGCCCTAATGAAAGCTCAACCAATATTGCTACAAAGTCAGCCGAGTTGTAAAACGAAGCTCGTAAAACTTTTATGCTAACGTCATGGATAAGGAAAGCTGGAAAATCCACCTAACACCAATTTGGTGAAGTAGGGAATATATCCATCCGATCGCAGGAGGATTAGTGATGACATAAATGTTTGTTATTCACAACAAATTTTTCTGATGAAAAGAAGGACCTTAACTGATCATTGAAGCTGAGAAAGCTGCTTAGAAGGCTACAATAAAAATTTCTAGGCTATGATAAATTTTTTGGCATTGGTAGTCAAGCCCATAGCACATATTTTTGTTTGATGTAACGATCCAATTCTTGGATTCGGTCACCATTTTTAGGCCAACAGGTTTTTATTTTGTTTTGTTTACTTACGTAAAAGTTTTTTGTTTGGTATATGTCAATCGATGTCTCTTTGCATTAGTTTTGAATTTCATTTCAATATTTCAAGTGCAAACAAAGTTTTGCCCTAAATAGGATTCAATTAAATACTTATTGATAATTGATAGAAATTTCATTAAAAAGTTGATTTTATTTCAGGCGATCGTAGAAGTGACCTTTGTATTCTACATACGAGAACGCACCCACCGCATTTTAAAGTAGTCGAGGCTGAGGAAACACATGACATTCCACGGGTAAAATGCACTCAGAAATATCCTTAAGAATAAATATACATTTAGTTGTATTATGAAAGTTACCGCGACCTGGAGCATTTCTCTGAGACATTCTCACAAATCACACGCTATATTAAGTATATTTTTTAATAGGGGGTTTTATTCCTCTAAAAGTTTCTTAGTTAAAGAACTTTCATACGAGAACTTTTCCATGCTATTTGAAGAATTAAGATTAACCGAGACATAGATGGAGAAGAATTAAGATTAACCGACGAATTAATGAAGTATCAGGGGTGCTACACCCCCTACACCCCTGCTGGCTTCGCCCCTGTACACACCACCATGCTTGGAGATTTTGAACTTTATGTTTCATGATCTAACAAGAAGAGCATGAGCCAATTTTAGACGTTAATGTGTAGTTGGTAGCTGGAATTAAGTTGAAATCAAGGCTGGATCAATATAAAAGTTTAATGTGAATTTAAAATCAATTTTAATTTTTTGTAGGGCCGCCATAATCTATTCATGGCTATTAGCGTATTTTTGTACCTGGTCAAAACAAAAAACCACGGAATGTTAGAGTAAGTGTTAATCTTGTTTTCATTTGTTGTTTTTTAAAATGTTTTTCAATGAACTCCTAGAGATTTATCTAAAGTGTCAGTGCTAAACTGCCCCTAAACGCACCAAATTGAATGTGCAACATTTACAAAATGCAAACGGTGTGTTTACTCTTGCTTTCATCTATGATAAAAATGAACACCTGGCTTTTGTTTCTTGTATTTTTATTTATTACAACCTAGCCACCGAAAGTAGTTCTAGCACACTTAGCAGCTTAGCTTATCAAGCAGTGTCCTGGCCCTTCCTCTCGATGTGACCACACTTTATATTCCTACGCCTGGAATGGCAGTGGGCTGGTAAACTCTATTCGCTCTAAGAGAAAATTTTGTTAGGTCAGGGACTCGAGCCCTAGAACCCTTGGGTGCACAGTCCGCAACCCTAACTACTGAGCCATCCTCGCACACAAATATGGATTATGCTACCTTGTCTTGCTTCTTAATTACTGCTCTCCTTATCTTTTTTAATTACTTACTATTCAGTGGTGCCGTAGAGGGGGGCACGGGGGCATGGGGGGCTCAGCCAATTAAAATTAAGAGAGATTTTGGGAGCTTAGCCTTCCTTAGCAAGCTAGTATATGTTTGGTTGGGCGAATTCCGTACTTGGCAATTTGAACTAACTCTTCATTATGCTATTGATTTTGGGTGAATGAGTGATTTCTTTTAGCCCTTTTAGAGGCGGCGAACATTGTTAATCATTTCATATGCATAACAGAGAATCTTTATCGCAAATGGAATTGTAGAGGGTGTGACCATGGGTGTGATCTTGGGTGTGGCTTCTAGGAGTTCATTACAGCACAGTCCCCTTCCTTACTTTTTACGATGGCACTGTTTCTATTGTATTCTTTTTCAAGGCGTGTAAATCTTGGTCCGTCTGGCCTCAACATTTTATGGATCCTGAACAAACGATGAAGGTGCATGTGACAGAGCAGGAGTGGTTTGGTTGAACCATGTTGCCAGACTAATTGTTCAGTTCATTCTGTTTCAGTTGGGTTATGGCTGAAGTTTAGTACTGCAATAGAGTGGCCATGTAAAAATGCCTTAAAAATCTACCTTTGTTTAATTTTGATAGGATAGTAGTCATATGATGTTGAAATATAAATTGTCCTGACTTTAACAAATCAGCTTGGTCTAACTGTCTGAGATCTGGCCATATACGCACAGGCTACTTTCTATTAAATTATTTTTTGATTCTTTCGTTTATGATCCGAGCCAAAACGGCGATTACTCTGTAGTTAATTTCATTAGCTGTTCCTCAGTCAATGTGTAGGAGGTTTCGATGGTTTTACACACGAAGAGGTAATCCTTGGTTTTCTTTAAGATTTTTTATTCCAAAGTCGACAATTGGAAAATTATATTTTTACGTCGTGATCACCCAACCACGCTGTTGCGACGGACTCAGCCTTCGCCGGTATCAGCAAAATAGCATGCTCTATTTTAAGGTAATGCATGACTATATATTGCTATTGAGTTGGATTGATGCGTGAATTGGAACTCTAAGCATGACATACTTACCTAGCCATTTTGGCCATTTTGGCTAATGTGTTAAAGTTTAACATATGATTATTTCTTATCTTATTAATCAAACTGGATCGCTTTGAAGCTTCGCAAACAACAATATCAGTGTTACCTGGTCAACTCAGCGATCCATCGAAATTAAGAAAATTCTGTTTTGAAAAGTTTTATGAAGTCTGCTTGAAGCCATTACTACAAATAATCAAACTCTTTTCGTTCTACAAACGAATGATTTCGTTCTACAAATGTATAATAAAAAGTTCTCTCTATTTGAGATGGATACTAATAATGTGCACCAATCTTTTATTCTTTTATCAAAATGCTACCAACGTATTGTTTGTGTAATTTTCATGGCTACCCTAAATATCTTTTGAGGTTGTATTAATCGAATCGTCTCATTTTAACTTGATTTGTTTTCTAAGTGATGGTAATTCTGAAATATTTTGTCATTACTTTTATTGGCTGTGTGTTTTCTCATATTGGTCCATAACTTTATTTTGCAAAGATACCATCTGTTCATGAATTGTCTTGGAAAGGCTTGCCTACACGTCAAAAAATTTCGGGTTCACCACTTCCATGCCCGTTAATACTTTTGCGGCACAGATCAATATACTTGAGTCACCAGAAGGCACTAATAGACGGTATTTTAAAGATAACAGATTTCAAAGCGTTTATAATGCAAATTTGGCCACCTGGTAGATACTTAACTAGTTTGATTATATCACCTTATATAGATGAGAAATAAAGAGTCCATTTTTACCGTTACGCCACAGTGCTAATATTTTCAATAGGCAAGCCGAGCGATAAAACTAGGGAACCTTTACAGTTAAGTGCTCGCGTCTCTGATTTTTTTCTAACGATCTACTTTTCTAACGATTCTAACGGTATATTTTTTCTAGCTTCGCATTTTCGATCCTTATTTGACGCTTTATACTCTGACGAGTGTCAGACGAAAGCTTTATCATGTTTAGTATGCTTGCTTCTTTCATAGCCATTTTTAATGGAAGGCAACAACAAAGTACGTATGTATACGACCCGTTCGTAGGGAGAAATCTTAGCCTCAACTGAAAGCATGATGAGGTAAGGTAGCTTGTTGCTTCAGAGCCCACGTCACAAATTTCAAAGTGGAAAGGCCAAGTGCTATTAATTGAACTTAAATTAGTGCTTCAAACAAAGCCTCTTCGTAAATATTTTTGCTTACCAAAAAGTGGGGAGGTCATTGCCCCTCCGCCCACCCCCCCCCCTTTGCTTTGCTTGTGGGCGCTTTGCTTCGCTTGCAGCCGTTTTCCTTCTTTCTGACTGATACGACCAGGGAACTTATTGCTCCATGGTTACGAGTCGAGAAGTTCAAATCAAATTAGAATCGAACACGTAATCACAGAACGTAATCAACACTCGGCACTGGAGTTCAGTGGGTTAACCATTTGCCCATTTTGCCTGATTGAAAGATGTTAGAGGTGAAAAGGGGGGGCTGGGAAAGATGCCAAGGGAAACGAGATTGCAGTGGCTGGGGCATGTGGTGAGAAGAGAGGAGAGGAACGTAGGAAGGAGGTTACGTAAGGATAGTGGGGAATAAGAGGAAGAGGGGGAGACCAAAAAGAAGATGGAAAGGTTGTATCGATGACGACTTGAGGATTAAAGGGAAACAGGAAGAAGTTGCTCAAGATGGGGTGAGGTGGAGGATTTTCCGCACCGGTGACCCCTCCAAGTGAAAAAAGTGGAAGCTGCAGAAGAAGAGATAAATAGCGACTATGTTTCAATCCCGCCCTAAGGTTTTTTATGTTCGAATTATTTATTTTGATCTTTCTGACGCTCAAAAGTCTCCCAAACATCGCACTAATCATTTAAGCCGAGAAAACAAGGCTGCATTTTCCGAGTAATTCTCCTGCCTTGCGTAGACAGCAGATTTTTGTCACAAAGACGAAGATTTCGGTCTTTCTCTAATGAATTTGCTGTCCGCATTCGTTGCAAAGACCAGAGACAAATATCAAACATCTTTTATCTCAAAGATTATCGCAAAGGACAAAAATCTTTAGGCAGTGTATGTGAAAAGTAGTTTTTCGAAATTGGAAACAGACCAAAAACATGTGGAATTTGTTCAACTTTTGGGAAGGTCACATCTTCTAAACCTATGAAATTAAACCCAACCTAAACTTTTGCCAGGGTATAGCTACCTATACTTTTCGTTCAATTAATAAACTCTCTTATGTGTAAGAATTGTTAACAGCAAGGTGCATATTTCTTTCCAGTTTCTTTCTATAAGCATTATATAAAAAATCTATTTTCCGATTGAAAGAAAACATCCAATATTTACTTAATGTTTTATTTGCATCATTATGAAAGTTTCAAATGATTGAATTAAACTCTTTTTTTATACACTCACGTTCAAAAAGCATTGGGACAAATTTGATTAAAGAACTATAGCATTGCGCTATTCGGGTTTGCAACGGAACCTTTCCGAGATATGAGCAGTCAAATAATCTTAGGCCTTTGTATCCCAAAATGCGGTTAAAAGTTGAAAAACAAATAAAACTTTTGAATCATAACTATAAAAGCAAGTACTGCATTCTTACAATTTTCCTATCTAGCATAGCAAAATCTGAAAAAGAGTTGTGTGGCCTAGAAACGGCAAACTCACTCTGATGAAGCCCTGGATGCCTGGGCGAAATATTAGTATGCATTTTATGTATTTAATTCATTTAAAAAAATTAATCCTATCACACTGGATTGTCGTCCCCGTTTTGCTTTGTTCCCGAACTTTATCTTCATGGGTAGAAAAACAATTGCTTGCATTCGTAGTTGAGTACTGGAATCGATAGGCATTGAATGGGAGTATTGGGGTTAATAAAAATATAATGTTAAGGCTATTTTGACTCAAGAGGACATTAGCGTGAATGTTAGAGGTCTTAATGACAAACAAACCTGTCTCTCATGTTCGAAATTCGAACAAGAATTGAAGTGTATCATAGCAACCGCAAGGCTACTATTGTTTCAGTTAATATGCACAATCACAACAACATACAACGGTTTCTTGTTAATGGCGGACAGAGTGTTGGAATGTATTCCTCCTAGACAGCTGGCCTAAAACGCATTAAAGCGAGCTTGAAAATCGAAAGTAAGTAATTAGTTTAAAGAAATATGAATGAAATACCACACAATAATTTTTTTTATAAATAGATTGATTGTTAAATTTAGTTTTAAATCTCTTCAAACACAACCAGCCCTGCACGCGCGACTTACCCTATGCATAAATGAGTCATTTTGCTTACCTGTTAACATAGGGTATAACTCGATTGATGGATTGAGATTTGCTTACTCGGTATAACTCGAGTGTATGGTTGGATATTTTGCAACTCGCGTGCAGCAAGGAACGGAGATTAAATTGGTTTTCTCAGTCAAATTTATTTTCCATGTAGGCATTTATACATTGTTTAAATATTTAACGAAGGAATTATAGCGTGGTCTTTGTTGAATAAGATGGAACTAATAGCAAGGCAATTGCTGGCCTTCTTTCTCTAATTGAAGACTTGGAATGCTATGAATCTATGATAATTTTCTTATTTTACCTATACAAGGTCAAAATGTCTGCTTTAAAAAAGTTTCTCCCTGGAAGAAAAAAGAAAAAGAAATCAACAACTGCTTCAATCCAATCTGCAACAAGTGAACAAAATATTACAGATATTGGACATGTTCCTGGATATCACAATGTAAAAGAAAAAGATTTACCAAAGTTGCACAAAGCTGCTTGGATAGGTGACCTGTCCAAGATTAAGCAGCTTGTCAAAAAGGGCGATGTGAATTTGATGGACAAGCATCATCGGTAAGAGGCTTAAAATGGATTAAGTGTAAAACCCAGTAAAAAGGACTGCCTTAAAATTAAAAGCTACATGAAAGTTAGCGAGTTTAATGACATTTTGCCTCAAGATTTTTAAAATATGTATAGGCCAGTTTGCTGTGAAGGTAGTTCTTGATTGTTTGGAAAATCTTGCATGTTTATCCAGCCACATATTGTGTGTACAAACTTTTTTCTGTGATAGAGTAATCACACATTCTGTGTGATATTTAGATTTTTTATGTGTAGTGCGACACCTGTCTTTTTTGTGTGCATTTCTGCTCACCTCTGCATAGTGGTGTATGAAGTGACAACTTCATGCAAGAACAAAGCCAAGCTTAATTGGAAGTACTTCAAAGAAAAGAAGCGATTGAAAGAAAGTAATCTTCAAATGCCTGCCATGAAGTAGTCATTGAATTGTAAAGGCCTGAAATGTAATGAGGCACTCTAACTGCTAATATTTGAAGTTACTGTAAATGGAGTTGCCTTCAAAATAAGTTTTTTTTATGTTTGATTATTTCTCCCTTTCCATTATTCGTCTGAAATATTTGAAAGGAAATCCACAAATAATAATCCTTATCATCACCTAAGATAAGATTATCTTTATGTGAATATTTGATATATTTTTTGATCATTGATAATGATAATTATATTTTATCATAGAAAACAGTCAAAAGATATAACTTTGTAAATTAGTTGATAATACCCATTGGGAATGTTGTCAAATTGTGATCTCGTGGTTAAATTCTTTTGAATTGACATAATGTCAAAATGAGAATAATTCTTAGAAGCTTTTGAATATACAATGAATTTCTTTTCAATTTATTGCTTTGACAGGACCCCTTTGCATTATGCATGTGTAAGGGGACACGGTGATGTTGCTCAATGGCTATGTGCAAACAGAGCAAACCTTGGGATATGTGATGAAGAGGGGAGAACTGCTCTAATGAGGGTAAGTGTAAAGGTGGTTGAATAATTCATTGGAGAAAGGCTAATTTTTTGTTCAAAAACTTGTAAATGTGGCAAAGGTATTGAATTATTTAATAAGCTCATATCATGCTCAGAAAAGAAGAAATCTCTTATGAAAAGAAGGCTTGTTTCTATTTGTTTCAAACATAAGTCTTTTGGTTTCCGATTTCTGAAAGGCTTGGATGCTTTAGATTGGTTGGAAGCCTCTGAAACCATAGACAATACAACATTTATTGTTTGATGTATGTATCATCTGCAAAATGTCATTGAATGGCTTTTGGCAAAATGAAGTCAAACATGATGTGCTGAAATTGATTTTAACTAAGTACATTTTTTGTATCAAATAATGGTTCTTGTGTTGATAATATTCTTTGTACATTGCATAGATACTGTAAAAGTTCTATTAAGCCCCCAGGGGGCTTACCTATTTTTTAGTCCTAGAGAAGGTGCTCAAAAGAGAGGGGTCTTATTCGAGAGGAGGGGCTTATTAAAAATGTTACAAATGTCCTTAAAAGACTTTGGTAGCAGCTTCAGTAGTGTAATTAATCAATTATTAGGTCCTCATCTTCATCAGCATCACCAGGATAAATAGATAACCTTTGGATACTTCAAAACAAATTTTGACTGACTTCTGAGTTGCACTAAATAAGTCTTTATGTGGGCTGTATTTAATGCACACAACCTTATCATCATCACACCCATCAAGAGACCCATTAAGTGCACATGTTTTCTTTGTTTGACATCAAAGGCTAAAGAGGGGGTCTTGATGAGAGGGGGCTTATTTAAAGTTTTTGCTTGATAAGGGGGCTTAGTAGAGACAGGAACTTAATGGAGAGGGGGCTTAATAGAGCTTTTACGGTAAGCAATAGGGAAAATGAAGTTTCTTTGATTTTTGAGGTGTGCATTTCAAATTTTGATAACTAGAAATAAAGAATCACAGCTGCATTTTGAAAGTAAAATTTTGGCTGCAACAAAGCAAAACCTAAGCAAATTAATTTGTTTCGATTTGAAATTCACTTTGTTTCGATTTGAAACTCAACGACTTTAAAGTATAATTTTTTATTTTACAATTTTTTAGTTGTTTAATTGCATGATTTAGGCTATAACCTTTTAAACACCAGGCTCTTCTCTTCCTTTTGAAATTCTCCTAACATTGAAACTATGTTTTGTCACCGAACAGTTCCAGAAACTGAGTCTCTATTTTGTATGTTCATTTTCTCCAATAGGCTGTGGAATGTGCATCAGAGAGATGTACTGAAATTCTCCTGAATCATGGAGCTGAAACAAATGTTGTTGATGTGAACTTAACCACCCCTCTGCACCTTGCTGCAACACATGGAAACATTTCAATTGCAACATTACTTCTTGAAAGAGATGCAAGGATCAATGCACTTGATACTGTATGTTTTGCAATTTGAAATTTGTAATGAAAATGTCTTAGACTTTTTACACTGGTTCATTCCTACTACTTTAGAAGATGTACCCTAATTCACTAAATAAACCTTTTCTGTATCAACTTGTATGTAATTGAAAAAATCAACAATGTGCATATATAATATCATATCATCAAACAGGAAACAAGCTGTTTCAGGCAAATTATTAGATTTTCCAATTATTTTATTAGTGTAGATATAATATTCAGGAAGCCAGAGGTGATAATGAAAGGAAGTTTTAGGGTGATTTTCTTTTTGTAAACTCATTAAATATATAGATTTTTATCTTTAGAAGATCAATCTTTCAATAATTAACATTTTTTCATACCACTTGTAATCATTCCAGTCTTTTTATTTCCCTCTTTTGCAGGACAAAATCTCTCCACTATATGTTGCTGCTTCTCTGGGCTTTCCTGAATTTGTAGATTTTCTTTTAAAAGAATATGCACCATTGAATGAGCCAGATATAAGTGGAAGGTATACATAGTTTTAATCTTGTATTCCCTAAAACTCTGGCAGAATGTTAATCACAATTTATTGACCATTTTAAAATTGATGATCTTAATTACTTTAATGTGAAACAAGCATACCATAGAAATAAATTTGTGTTGCATATATAAATGTTTCATTAACAATTTTCAGATTGTTGTTGTTTTCTTCCTTAACCAGAAGGAAATATCAAATTTTTGGATTCAGCATACAATGAAATAGTGAAACAGCTGGATTCCAGGATCTAGGAACTATTTTAGTTTTGCAAGGCAAAATTTATTTTTCATTTATTTTTTGTTTGCTGCATCCATTTTGTTGTGGAAGTGGCCTCCAAATCACCATCCTCAAAATTTGACTTATTTTCATTGACACCTTTGAAATGTGGATTGGTAAATGCTTTAGGTAGGATCTATGTAAATCAGCCATTTTTCAAGCAACTTCATCATTTTGAAAGAAATAATGTGCATTGGAAATATTCTTCTGTATACATATTGATTGCATTTCCCCTTTTATTGTCTTTTAAACCTCATAAAATTGCAAATTTGTTAATTCAGTGGATATTTTTCCAGGACGGCACTGATAGCTGCAGCAATGGAGGGGCATACTGAGGTGGTAAAAGTTCTTTTGAGACATGGTGCTGATACCGAATTGAAAGATAAGGAACACTGGAAAGCAACTGACTATGCTGCAATGTCAGGACACCACGAGTCAGTTTGCTAACTATTGTGTTGTTTGTTGTTTGGAATATTTTTCTCTCCTTTGCTTTTTTTATCACAATGAACCATTCAAGAAACTGGGCATCAGGGCTGGAAAATGTATGGCAGCATTGGCAGCGACACTGTCAGGCAATTTTAAGCATAAATCCATTGCAGGAAATTGTTGCTGTTCGCCAGGAAATTTTAAGCGTGAATTCATCGTTGCTTGATTTTGATATGATCATTGAATTTATATTACTCTCTTTCTATGGAACGCTGTTTTCTTGTGATAAACATACATACTATAAATGTTTGTTCTACACTACTAACGAAAAACAATGATTAGCATTCAAAATACAATCATCTGGTATTATCAGCATCAGTTATACCAAATTTCCGGCAATTCTCGCATGATTTTCAGCTGCAAATTTATTTCAAGCAAGCTAAGTCAAAGTTAATTCCTCTTTTTACATTAGGCAAAGTTCATTCTTCTCTATGTTTGGGAAATATTGCAGGTTTAGTTTTTAAATTCAATATTTATGCAGCTGCTTTTTGTCAATTTTCACCAACAAGGAACAGTTTCAAAGTATCAATATACACTGAGATATACGAAAGGAATTTTTTCGTCACATTCTTCAGGGACAAAAAGAATTTACGAAAGTAACAATGTTTGTGACTTTTTAGTAGCCATGTTATTTTGAAATGTGATTTGCAGGTCACTTTTAAAATTCAACCTATCCTTAAAGCCTATGCTTTTTATGAGTGGTTTTGTTGCATTTCTCCCAGAATATCGGATTTAATTGAAGAGCATGTCAACAAACAACGAGAAGAGCCGAAACCAGCAACACAAGAAGTCAATTCGAATTTTGGATCCGGAGTTGGAAGCCCATTCCGGTCAACAAGCACACAGCCAGGGTCCAGTACATTTGGTGGACCTGCTATAAACATAACCGGTGGGTTTTGATTTAGTTTTCTGTTATGTGCCTAAGATTTCATGTGTAAAAAGTTTGATGTATTGAAAAATCCATGATGAATTGATAAATTATTTGATGTATTGAAAAATCCTTATAAATATTTTCTGGCCGGGTTTTAAGTGATCAGTGTAATGACAGAAATGTGTTAATTCAATTGTAACACTCAGTTGTAAAAAGTATTGTTTCGTCATCCCAGTAAAGATTGAAATTCATAGTTACATCTTGAAACAATCTTCTGTTACAAGTTTAGACTTTTATGTTTAAAACCGATCTACCAAACTGAATAAGAGAATCTCTGTATACAATTTTTATCGAAAGCCTTTCCAAAATAAAGATGGATACCCGTGGTAATCAGATACCCTTTTTTAAACTGCTTTAAGTTTAAAATTTGCACAATTATACTGAACCACATGTGAACCACATTGTTTTTGGTCAAAAGGGGTGAAAATACTGAATGCTAAAATGTTGAATCCTAAGAATATTTACTGCATTCAAAATCCCATCAAGAAAAGATCCATGTGTCTTGTAACAGTGAGTTGGCTCCCAAAATGTGCCTCAAAGTGAACTGGTTCACAAAGTATGCCCCAAAGTGAACTTGTTCACAAAGTATGCCTCAGTGAGAACCAGTCACAATTATGATTTTTGGTTTGCTTTTAGTTGATTCTGAAGATGATTCGTTGGAAAATGACTCTCCGAGAAGGTTTGTCAAGATTTATATTGCCAAAGCAAAACCCTTTTATCAATTTTGATAAAATATCTTCCTTTGCTATTTTGCAAAGCTTTCAAACAATTGCTGACTTTTGAATTTTTGAATACTTTCCTTATACAATCAGATCCTTAATGCCTACAGTTGAATTTCTCTTCATTGTATGCGCAACCGACATTTTCATATCGTTTCTGTTTCAGATCCGATTTCCAGAATTCTTGGGCAGATTCAGAAAGCGAAGTAGAAGAAGAAACGGTAGAGAACTGCTATTTTTGTTTTTTTTGTTTTAGAGGTCTGGTCTTTAAGGGAGATCTTAATTGGGGGATCTTCGACAGGGATCTTTGTTAGGGGATCGTTGATGGGGCTGGGAAGTTTGTCGAGCTTTATTCATTTTTGCAGAAATTCAGGCCCAGAAGTTTGTCCATGCGACTTTGTAAAGTAATAATAAAATTTGTTTTTTAGCAAAAGCAAGTCCCAAATCTTGCAGTGGCTTTGAAAAGAAACGAATCAACACAAAGCACAAAATGTGAGCAATGACCTACTCATTTTTCAACTTTATTGTCAGTGATGTCGGAGATGGTCCATCATATTATTGTTAATTTCGTCTCTATGTAGGCCGGTAGTGAGCTGCCCTTGATTTGGAATTTGGTCAGTAGCTGATAGTGGGAGCAAATTTTCTCATAGTGGGAGCAAATTTGAATTTAGAACCGATCGGCCTTCTTATGATGAATATAGATAATTATACAAAGTATAAATAAATATAATTTGAAAAATCCAAAATTAAAATATTGAATACCGTAGATTATTTTTTCGAATGTGTATAAAATGGTTGTCATTAAATTTGTCAGCACAGCATTCTTAAAATCCGGCGGATGTACTCATCCAGCCTTTTTTCTGCCATGATTATGGATACCTTCTTTGCTGTTAAGATTGCGTAGTTGCAGACCACGTTACATTACCATTACGTAAGTTATAGATACAGGTGTTCTTGCGCAATCACCAGATACCACTGATAATTTACATTAATATTTCTTTAAGACCTCTTTTATTTTAACTATTTTTATTTCCCAGCAATTGTGTTGCCCCAAACTTATTAGTCGTCTTTTTTATTCTAGCTTCTAGTAAAATTCCTGTGGCTTCATCCAAAGAAAAATTGCAACTTAAAGGTAACAAGACTATTTGCATTTTGAAAACAATGAATTTTTGATTCTAGTCGACATGTTTTAGGGGTAAGTGATTAAATAATTGCATAAATAATTGGTAAACTGATTGATGGAGGAGAAACGCACCACGAAAATTATTTGATCAGAAGTTTAACTCAGGGTTAGGGAATGATTGAGGGGTATCAGCCAAAATTCTTTACGATTGTCGTAAAACGAACAATAAATTGGTAAATAATGTGATCATGCAGGTGTAACATGTGTAAGACACTTCTGATATTTTGCTATGTATGGCATTGCTGTCATCAAATCGACACCATTGTCTGAGTGCAGTTTCTTTACTTGGTTTGTTTTGATTTTGTGTTTAAAAACGAGTATCTCCTTTGATAAAAATGTATTTATGATTTATGAAGAACCTGATAATCTTCAATCAAGGGTTAAAACGGCGTTGTTAAGAGTTAAAAGGACCAGATGTAACCAAGTTCTTCTTTCACCAGTGGTATTATATTAACCTCCATTCATCGCCTATAACGTTCTGTTATTGCGAAGTTTCTTGAATGCCAACTTCCTTAATAATGATTCCTCCACACTAAGTGAGGTACATTTCTACCATCTGCAGATGGCACCGACACACAGATGCCTGGTGCACCAAAAGAATCGAAGATTCCAAAGTTTGAATCTGGCATCCCTCAGTTGAAAAAGGCAGCTTCAAAAGAAGCTGTTTCTGATCAGCCATCTGGCTCTGTCCCTGTTAAACCCTCTGGTATACCTAAAATGCAGACCAAGATTAAGTCGCCAAATGCGAGCAATCCGGATTCTTTGTCACCTACCCATCAGGCCGGAAAAAGTGATAGCCGGACGGTTGTTGATTCTCAAAGTAGCCAAAGTGCTAGCCATGAAAGCAGGATTCCGCGACTATCAAAGTCAAATTCGTCAGTCTCAAAAGAGAATGCATTCAAAACCGAGGGTGTGTCTAAAGATAGTTCTCCAGCTAAAAGCCCTCTTCAAGACGGCAGACCAGATTCACTTGGCTGGGAAAATGCAGACTTCTCAGACTTTGATAGCGATGTAAGTACCGCTTTTATCTCTAACGTGGGTTGTGTGTTGTTATTCAAATGTTTTCTCTTATATCTCAAACTATCACCATAATTGATTGCCGATTCCAAAATTGTCTTTAATCAAGGGTTAAAAGTTAAAAGTTTTCCGAATTGTCTGAGGAACGATTTTTCGAGCTGTCATGAGAACAGTTATGGAGAACTGTTATGGAGAAACTTTAAACAAAAAAGATATTAGTAATTAAAGATAATTTAGACGTCTGTCTTTAATTGAAGTCCGGATAAATGGTTTGCACTTTAAACCATGCTTAATAACAATTGAGTAATTTAGGCCAGAATATCGAAGTAAATGTAGGTGACAATGTATTTTCTATGCCTATGCTCGACTTGTACTGAATATATCGAATATTGCTCTTCCCGACTAATTCGACTCAAGTGAGACCCCTTTATACAAGTAAGTCAGGAAACGTTGCTAGAGATATTGAGTCACCAATGGGTTTTACAACATTATTGGAATAACTGTGCTATTTGTTAAAAGAAGTATTTTTGGCGACAAGAATCACCCCCTACAAAAGGAAAGGGAGAATTTACGAAAGCTAGCTAACTGTCTCAAACTGTACCTGGTTTTGAAAGATACTCTGAAATATCGAGATGAAAGGCCGTCCTAGTGATTTTTGTTAAAATGAACAACTGATGGACACCCAGGGGTGTAGTGGGGGTGTTGTTACGAAATTTGCAAAGTCTTCTAGCATTTGTAAATAGACGCTAAATTGATTGTTAAAACATACAAATCAACGATAATCTTGCCTTGCGTTTTTTGGCGCTTGTTAAGAGCTCTGTTGGGAAAGCCCCTATTCAGAAATTTGCGAGAATATTGCATACCTTTCCGGCTGTAAGAATAGCTCAGCTTTTGTCTTTCCTTCGAACTTGAGCCAAGCTCGAAAACCTTCTGTTTTGCAGAGCGAAGATGTATCCGAAACAGATTTACTCGCAGCATTAACTGGAGGCCCTGCAAAGAAGGTAGGCATTCAATGATTGAGATTAAACGGAAAACTAAAATAATTAAGCATTTACTATAAACACTAGTCAAAGTACTTTTTAAGTGTGTTTCTGTTATCGTCAACCAAGTATTTGCTTGCGCATGAGTTGCAAACGTCCAAATTGGGAAAAATTTGCTCTCACTTTTGTATCCGCTAATTTTCCAGATTTTATTGTCTTTTTCACAACCGTGTTGTCTTCCGACACTTTTAATTAAAAAAGTGCCTGGCAAAGCAATCACGCTGTTAATAGATTCATTTTCAGAATTCAAAGGTGTTAAGTGGCTGTTTTGTGTTGATTTTCATTCAGTTCTCTCTACTGTTTCAGTCACTTGCAAAGGGCCAGGGCAAGCTTAACAGAATGGACCCGTCTGATTCTCCTGAAGGTAAGTTGCATCAATTAATTGTAAACTAGACTTTGAACCTTTTTAACGATATTTCTATTTAAATTGTGCAAAAGGGACTGTTTGTACTTGCTGCAATTCTTTAAAGTTTTACTCTTTTGCTGTTATTAATGTTCCTTATTATCCTCAAAAGGTAGTTTTAAGTAAATCGATATCCCAAAAAGGATAAAAAGTTTTAAAACGGCTTGTGCTGCTTATGTAAAGCGGCAAATACCTCAACTGGCCTTTGGCTTCGTTTAGATGAATACGCAATCAAAAGGAGACGCAATAATATCTTTACGTTTTTGCACTCCGTTTACCCGACGGCAATAAATCTATGCGTGTGAAGTAAATGAGGAACACCGCAACGCGACGAGAATGAACAGCAACAAACACACATAAAAATCAGCAATGGCTAATATTTCGCCCCAGCATGCATACGGGGCTTCATCAGAGCAAAAGTAAACCCACTAGAAATGTACAGATTTAAAGGAGGCTATATATCTAAATAAATCTATGACTTATAAGGCACAAATTTGTAAGACGAAAATTACTAATTTTTTTAAATGAGAAAGCAATCTTTGAAAAATCTGCGCAGCCGAGACTTTAGAATTGCGTCATCTTGTTGCTTCAATGCACGAAAGACAATTTACTACCGCGCTTGAAAAAGACTTCAAACTTCTTTGTACTAAATTTTTGACTTCGGATTTGGATTGGTGACGAAGAATTTTAGTTAAATGTAAGTTTTCATGATGCTGGTGCTCGGGAATTTGGTTTTATGTCGACATACTTAAAATGTAATGATATGAAATAATGGAAATTACTGTTTAACGGTCTGCCATAAAGTGCCCGATACCGTATAGGCAGGGCTGTACACGCTTTTTGGTGTATAGAACAGGACAATTTTTTGTTGCTACCTGTTTCACGCTTATTGCGATCATGAGACACTGTTCCGAAAATTAAATGAAATAAATTGTAGTGTCCGGTTACCCGACGCTGTAAGTTAAATTGGTGTATTTTGTGGTACACGTTTTTATAAAGGCTCCTTTCTTGAATAGTTGAGAAGAATAAAGAGCAAGCAAGTGAGGATATAGGTGAGAATGAAGAATATGCTAAAGAACAGAACGACACTGCAGATAAACAAAATGAATTAATGGAAAGTAAAAAGGAAGATGAGGAAGAAGCAAGTCAGTTCGAAAGTTCATCTGAAGATGTGACGCCCCCTAAGCCAGTGCTGTCAAGCATTCTTAAGAAAGAGGAGGATGAGGATGATGTTTCCGAGAAGGATGAGGGCTCAAAAAATAAAGAAGATTCTAGAAAGGAAGAAGGATTCGGATCTGGAGTTGATTTCGATTTGTCTGTAGGAACAACTGAGTTTTCTTCTCCGGAATTAGCCAAAAAATCATCGGAGGTGAAGTGAAAAGTCTTTTCCATTCTTAAATAGCTTTTTGATGGCACAAGGAATGTTCTGCATAATCCTAGTCCCCAGACGTGGTTTCCGAAAATTGGCGTAGTCATTTTCCAGTTTATCCAGTTTTTGCAGTATTTCCATTAAGTGTGTTATATTGTTTTTTTAAATATATTTTCCCCATAAAATTTATTTGTTTGCCAGAAGAGAATATCCCTGTCAAGAACCTCTTTTCTCAGTTCATTTGCCGGCTTTTGTATACCGGTTTTTGTGGGAAAATATCTTGAAAAAAATGGATGTTTTTTGCTGCCTTCTTGAATCTTATAAGTGCTCCTTTGTTTGTCTGTTAGTGATGATATTAACTGTGCAATGCAATCAAAAGTTTGCTTCATGCTATCGCTCTTATTTCGAAATGCAGCTGGACAAGGCCTGAATTTCTCTGTTATCGCCATGCCAAACGACTGTCCCTTCACAGGGTGATTTTTTCATTGTAACAATTGCTGCAGATGTTTTTGAAGAAATTTCAACCAATGGAAAAAGTTCACTCAACAGATGACCCAGGCAGCAATTACTTTGCGTCAAATGAAAGGATTTGTTGACGAACCCTGTAACAATATCCCTGTAGTTCACTGTTTTTGCATTATTCCGTTTAGCTGCTTGCCCTTCTAGCTAAAAAATTAACACCTGAAAAATAATTTCGATTCGTAGCCATCTGGCCCTGTTCCAAAAGCCGATGAACCAAAAGTCGATGTTGAATCTGAATTTAGCGATTTCAGTTTGACTGAAGGACATGACCAAACAGCCATTGGGAACAACGATAGCAAAGAAAAAGATGAAATGGAAGCGGGCGGAGATAATGAATCGAAGAACAGTCGTAAGATGAGCAAAGGTTGGGTTATTTCATTCATTCATTCAACAGCTTACTATATGATCAGTGACTTTGTTTGTCCCTGTTTTGGATTTTTATTACTTCTCATTTGATATGCTCACTACACACAAATCAAGTGTGAAAGCTCAAGGTAGCTTAAATCGCAAAGGATGTTGCAATGTATGTCAATAAAGAACTATTTCTTGTGTATAGTCTTTCATAGCAGTATTGGTGTTAATAGCCGTTAAGAGTAACGACTTTAGTAGCGACTGGAAGAGAGCAAATATTTCTTGCCCATAAAAGATTTATCTCGACGTTCTGTATCTAGAACGGACAATTTTCTGTGCCATGTGTCGTTGTTTTTGTTGTCCAAATTTCCTTATTAATGTTTCATTACGTTTCCAGATCTGAAAGCCCAAATGGAAGCTTTGGGTTTGGAGTTCGGTAGCTCAATAAGCTCGTTTTCAGAGGCAGAAAACATCGGAGAGCTGGATGCGTCGATAACCAAACACGATAAGTTCTTTTCTCCTTCAAACTCCAAGCATGTTGAGCAACAAGATACCAGCATGTCTCCTGAAGCACAGGTAAGCAAACCAACCCGAAATGATATTCATTTAATAATTTTTGATTAAACAAAGCTTCGTAAGAGTAAATTAACGTTTGCTTTGCACAAGATATCCTTGAAGGACTTCGACTTCATTTCTTTTAAGTTTTTAGTTTTGAGGGAGATTGAGATCGGAAGTTATAGCCAAACTTAATTTCTTATTGTACGCAGTCCCCTAAAGTAAGCCTCTTTTTCTCTCAAAAATTCAAAATATTGTAGTGAGAAAATGTGTGCATTGAAATAACAAATCATAATTTATAACAATGAATTTCAAATAAAAGGATTATATATCCATATCTCCCTTCAAATATATTCTTTATCTGCTTTGGGCACTTGTTAAGTTTCGTAGCTCGCCAGAGAATTTTTCCATCGTCTGCTGGCCTGTTTTCGCGTACACAAGAATCATGGAGACTTTTGATGCCGCTGAAAAATGTATTTGCAGCTCACTTTTAATGTTGGTTTGTCACTTTCAGGTACATTTATCGAAAGATGCAGCTGGTGAGTCTCCTTCTCCTCTTGATCATTCATTATCTACAGGTTAGGCTCTGAAACACTGATCTGCTTATGATTTTATGGATTCGTTGGGAATTGATCTTAATCTAATTGTATTTGAATTATCACTTGTAGTTATTTTTTATGGACCTCAAGGATAATCTTATGAATTTCGTTAGAAAGTCTTAAATCGGTAGCAAAAAGTTTTCCTTTGGGCAGTTATGAGTTAAAAGAAAGATTATTCTTTATTCTTTGAAATAATCTGTAATTGTGCGGCTGTTTAGAATTGTGGTTGGGTTTTTTATAACTATGTTAGCAACCTATGTGACGAATTCGGTTCATTATTCCTCGTTTTATTGTAGAAAAAGAGAGTGGCAATGGAGATAAAAATGGCAAAGCAGAAGGACGGAAATCGTCAAAGGCCCAATATGACGCACTGGGTATTGAGTTTTCTGATAATTCAGAATCCGTCATTGAAACAGAAAGCGAATGGGAAGCAAGTTTGAGAAAGAAGAAATCGCAAGAAAATGCAAAGAAAGAGGAAAACACGGATTACGGAGGTTTGGAGTCAGAAAATGTTGTTAAAAGTGAATCTGCTGAGACATCTGGGGCTGACGAGGAGGTGAAAGAGTCGGAAAAGGGGTCAAGCAAGGAAGAAAAGAAGGATATTGTAGAGAAAGGGTCATTGAAGAATGATTCTGAATTCATCAGTGACGAGAGCTTCAGTCTAAATACAGAAGACCAACTCGAAGAACTAGAAGAAAACAGAATAAAAAAGGCAGACGACAGTGATGCAAACAGGGAGGAAGAAGATGCTGAAGACGAACTTGCGAAAGATTTTAATGACAGTGATTTCAGTTTGACGGAAAGCGCTAGAAATGAATCAAAGTTGGACGATTCTGGTGAAAGTAAATCAATGGAAGAATCTGAATCAGAAGTTGTTGTAAAGGAAGGAGAAGATACAAGTGCAGGAAAAGATGGGGAGAAAGACACTGATGTGTCAGGAGGACACGTGGAGGTGGAAAAGGGGGACATTTCTAAGGAAAGCACTCCCGATGCAAGCCTCGAAGAAAGGGATGAAGAGATATCCTTTCATAAAAACGAGAGTAACACCACTGACAAATCATCAGAAATCGAAATCGGTAACGATGCTGGATTGAGCCACGAAGAAGTTAAAGGAGATGCCAAAAAGCAAATTACTGGAGGCAGTATCAAGGAGCAGGCCTCTGTCTCGGGCAGCGATGAAGATGATTCGGTAGAATCCGAAAGCGAGGCATCTAGTAAACACGAAAGACAATCAGTTGATGGCACAGTAAGTGATCTGAGTGAGCATGGTATAGGGAAAGAAACTGAGGATAAAAGAAGGAAAGGAATAGTAGACAAACCACCACTGTATGGTTCAAGCGTGGTTAAAGAGTCTGAGTTCAATGAAGATCTTAAGAGGAAGAAAAGTGACGTAGAGAGAAAAAAGGCATTGGAGGCCATGGCAAATACAAGCCAAGATCCTGTTACACCTAAGAGATCTGTAGACAATGGGCGGAAATTGAGCGACGTTGAACGAAAAAAGGCTCTAGAAGCCATGAAAAAACCGCCCACCATTGAGCCTGTTGTGGTGCACAATGTGGAGGCGAAGATGGATTTGGGGGCTATGACGGAGGAGGAATCTAGTTCAGACGATATCGAAAAGCAGTTTGAAAGAAAATTGCTAGCAACGGAAATGGAGAGTAAGAAAGGTCAATTGAAGGAGGATTTAGGGAGCCGAGGTGATAAACCGTCAGGAGCTGTCTTAGGGGAGAGGGCCAAGGTTGTCGGAAACAGCGAGGTAAAGTCACTTCACCTTCCAGGAATTTTGCGGTTAAGTCTTCTATTTAAATGTTTTCAATTAGATAACTCTTTCTAAGGTACATTTTCAATAGAATTTTGTACAATGCTTTCGAGACAGTTTCGAAAATTTAAATCCGTGGCCCAGTTTTGTTTGTTAGTTTGTCAAAGTATAAATATTTTTTAACGTATTGCTACTATCTCCATTACCTCTTTTATTTAGTTCTGAGCTTAGTTGGAGTTTCATTGCTTCAGTATTCTTAAATCTCAGACCTTTTTGTGTCTTCAGTACTCATTTTCTTTGTTTCAAGGATTTGGAGAAATCATGGAAGAAAAGGGAAGAGGAAGAGGAGCGAAAGAAGAAAGAACTGGAATTGGAGAAGCAGAAGATGAGGTTGGAAGTAGAAAGGCGAATTAAACAGCATCAGGAAGAACTAAGGCAGAGGGAGAAAGCATTTGAGGATGAACTTCGAAGAAGGGACGAGGCAGAGAAGGAAAAACGGCAAAGACAGTTGCAAGAATGGGAAAAAGAGAAGAATAATTTAGAGGAAAAAAGAAAAAGAAACTTGGAAGAGGAAATTAAGAAGTTGGAGGAAGAGAAGAAGGCCTGGGAAAAGGACAAGCAAATGCAACATGAAAGATTGATGACAGAAAAAATGCAGTTCGAAGAGGTAACCAGAAGAAGGATACAGGAAGAGCTGCAGGCTGCAGAAGCAGAGAAGAGGTATTTGCATGATCATAACTTTGAATTTGACGAGCATGCTCTTCAAAGGAACGATCAGAAGCTACCTTACTGTAGCTGGCAAAGTGTGTGATGGTTTGCACGTTTTAGCACAGCCCCGCCGTTTGTGATTGTCTACCATTCTTGTATTATAACAATCTTGGCATTTCCATCATAACGCCCAAACATTCTTGTGGCCCCAACTAGTGATGACTACAGTCAAAACCCGGTGTACTGTCACACCTACCTGCATTTAGAACATTTTGAAATTGCTTAAATTATGATATACGCAACCTTTTCGTTTGACAGTGGCACCAACTTTTGACATTACACCTATTAAATGATTACAAACTTCATTCTTTTTAGTTTTCTGGGTCAAGGTTTCAAGTGCGAATTGTGCAAGTGCGTTGAGCTTGGGTGACTGTAACTGGAGTCGACTTTCCCTCAACATAACATGAATCGCTAATGCTAAGAAAATGCCTGCAATTCTTAGATTAGAGCTGATTAGAAACACCCGTACACTTCTATTACCAAACATTAACACGTAAAGGTCCATTCCAAGATATTATTTTTCTATTTATTTTCAAAACTCAATTTTCTGAAATGCAGTTTGTTGTCCGACTCTTCTCCTTGAAAGCACGAAATATATGTTGTGAATCAAAAGAGCCTTACCTTAGAAAAACGGTAGATATTTTATTTGCTCCATCGCATATACCACATTAAGTTAAATAACATACCGGTGTCAACTTATGTAAAAATATATTTTTTTCCAAGCTGTTATAATTTGTTTACGTAAGTATTTTTCAATTTTCGATAGCAAGACAAGTTTTAAAAAACCTGAATCTTCTGTATGCCTATACCATTTGTTTTCTTTGAAGTTTTTTAATTTTGATTATTTATCAACAGTCTCAGAAAACAAGAGGAATTGTGGGAACAGAGGAAAAAAAGTTCGGAAAGTAGTCCAAAACCAGGCGATAATTTTGACAATGGCGACGAGGGCGAAAAACTCCGAGCACTGGACGAATTACTGGAAATCGACAGTTTCATGAGACAGAAAGAAGAAGCGGAGAAGAGGAGAGTAAACGAAGAGGTTGTGGAGGAGGGTGATTTTGGAATGAGTTACGCACCCCCTGTCATGAAGAATAGAGGTAATTACGAGCTAGTTTTGTTCTGAATTTATTTTCTGTTTTGAAATTAATGATACTTCATTGTTGTTTTATTTGAGCAAAAGTTGTTTGTGTTAGTGGTAGCAAACTGATCGGTTGAGTATTACGTCTACGTCACTAGCACTGCGGATTCCTGTGAAAATGGCAAGTATTAAGAAAGTATTACGTAAAGGCATTGCCTTAATGTAAATGAGAATGAGAAAGCCTGTGTGATTGGCTAACACTTTCCACTGTGTAACTAATCACATGTTTGTGTAAGCAGAAATGACCATTAAACACAACTGATCACATGAAAACCTCATGAAGATTCAACGCTTCCAGCGATGCTGTTCGTTGTATATGGTCTTGTTATGAAGCATATAAGAACTTACAAAACCAAAGGGAAAATTCAGCTTTCAGTTTAAAACTTACAAAGATAGCATTTTTATTGAGAAATTGCCTCGAAATTTACCATGAAATCTCTCCTGTCTAGTGAAAGTTTGATGATCGCAAATTGCTAGAATAGACGTGGCATCTTTGCCGAATTTTGTAACAATATTCGTTGAAGTCAGAAGACATGCTACAATAGGAAATATCCTTGCTCAATTCTAAACCCTGGATAAATTCAGCTCACAACTCTCATTATACAATATATGTATTTTTTTCAGTAATTGCAAAAGTAAACCCCCCCCCCTACCAAATCAATTTGTTCTACCGCATTCTCTCTGATGACCGCCGGGGGCTCTCATTCCATTTGGCTCCGAGAGTTGAAATTCACACGATCATTGTTTTTGAAAAAAATAATATTCCATCTGCATCACGCTGGCTAAAGGGAAAACATTTGCAAGATGTCAGTTCTTCTCAGACAGAACCCTCGTCGATTTGCATGAATACTGGTGGGGCATCCTGAATATCTAGATTTTCAATACCATTAGATGTATTTTATCTGGTTCTGTTGGTATTTGAAGAGAACTTTCCCAATTGAAACAGCAAAGGTTTTCTTAAATATGTTTAGCTGACTATTGCGATGATTTGCTGATCTCCGTCTGTTTTTATGATATTTGGGGGCGCTCATGGGAGAGGGGCGGTCATTCAGATTTTTGCTCAAAAAACGGGCGCACATTAGAGGGGGGCACTCATTGGGGAGAGGGCTTTCATTAGAGAGACAGCGCTCATTAGATAGATTACGGTATATGTCCAATGTATATTAAATCAGACAAGCTATAAGGGTTTTTCTTTCGGGAATACGATATGCGTAAACTGAATCCGTCTGTTATGGGACTTCCTCATACAGCGAGACAACATCCCAGCTGCTCCAAAACCACAGCCGCTGATGGACCGACACAACTTGCTTCACCTAACCCATGCAAAAATCTTAACTTTGATATACCTTGATAGACTCAAGTACAAGCAGCTTAAAGTTCTGGGCAGGGAATGGAGAAGAGAAGTCCACTTTTCCCAACCAGGAAGCCGATGCACTAGTCCAACCTTTGACACCTAAGGTATGAGAGGGGAAGAGAAATAATTACTGAATTAAGAGCCTAGTCTTTCCTGAACGAAAAATAACAAGAACTTATAAATTAATCCCGTGATGAAAATAGGCCCTAGCTTATTACAATAGCATTAACAAGGATTTGAAGATACACACTACGCTTGATATCAAAAGGGGAGGGAGGGACGGTAGAAGAGAATAGCGTGGAAACAGCATATGAATTAAGCACGATAATTCCGACCGAACGCAATTAAATACACCCATCTGAGTCAAGGGACCCACACTTTCGTGCAGAAGCCCAAACTACAAAACTGCTTTTTCTCTATTATTCAAATGGCATCAAAGAAGCACATAAGGGCTCAAATACCAAATTAAAGCATGATAATTGACACCCGAATGAGAATGATACAAATAAGCTAAAATAAGAACCCCTAGCGAATAAAATTCTACAGCAACCTTCGTGAAATTAACTTTGATAAAATTTCATTTGATCAGCATTAAGTTTTGAAGATCTGCACCAGCTTTGGACAATCAGCATAACTGAAAGAATTATGTGGTTAGAGAGAGGATCCACTCATGTTTTCCGCATTCTAAGTGTCGGCCAACGTTCAAAGAAAAAATCATGATCAAAACGAGTACAAATTGTACGGAGTTCATTTCGTTTTTCCATGATATTTCCTTTTTCATGACGTCAGCCTCCCGAGTGTCCAATTATCATCCATTGCTAATTACTCTGAAAATTGATATCCCCAAAAGATTTTTATACCCAACCCTTTTGCTGTTGTAACATGAAACGTGCATTGTCTTATCCGCGTCTTTTGTTTGAGAACACGATTCAATTGGTTCGTCCTACCGTGATCCAACAAAAGGCATTGTTACTTGTTTAATGCGGTCAAAGTCTGTAGTCCATGCTAAGCTCTTTTGTTTTCTTCTCCATTGAGTCGCTGTTCGCGTCAAAATGGTTGCTATAAGCAACACCACCCTATTCGACAGTTTTTAACGATTTCAGTGTTCACATTAAAATAAGCTATATAAAACATGGAGGTTTTTAAACATCGTGGCTACAGTTTTTTGGCAGTCATTTCATGCTTTTAAAGCATATTCTTTTAAATACTTCACAATCAACCCCGCACACACGTCAACTGTAAGTAGAGATTAGTTTCCAAATCCTTTTCAACTGCTCAACTCATTACTTGTGTTATTTATTTGTCCTTGATTGTTATTTCGTCTGTTTTGAGTTGCCAGCAGCCGAATCAATTGCTGCTTCACAGTTCTTTAAAATATGATGCACCTTTTTGAAATTTCTGCTTCTTTTGAATTATTCCAAGAAATCGTTGCGTGATCGAACAATCACTTCCGTTTACTTACATGTGCGTTCGTTCCATTTCAAGAGATGTAATGCATTTTAGATGTGAAGATTATTGTTTATTGAGAACTGGTGGAAAGAAAAAAGCAATGAGGATTCGGTACTTTCAACTCAGTACCAGTTTGCTCTGGTCTGCTGCCTTTAATTGGCGCGTGCCTGGAGATAAACTACTGGAGCTGGCATTTGTTTAAAGTCAAGCTTTAATATTTATGTTTACCTGTAAGGTAGTGAAACGACACTTTTGAGGAGATATTGTTGCTCCAACCGCATAAATATTTTGATCTTTTGTGTGGCTAAGGATTGCTGAAAGAGATCAAAGTATTTGGGTGGATTTTTGTAAGATCAATTGTAAATAGAAATTGCAAAGCACCAATCAGTTCTCAGTGGTTAAGTTCCATTAGCAGTTTTTGGTTAATCCTTTTCGCTGTTACTTGATAATTATTCATTTAGCAAAGGGTAGTGGTGCTAAAGCGATCCTTGCTTTTCCCCTAAAGGGGCGTCACTTTCCATCACCCCCCCCCCCCCCCTTAAGCCCGGTCAAACGATCCAACATTTCACCCAACATTTCGCTAAGCATCATGTTGGTTGAAATGTAGGATCGTTTGACCACTATGTTGGGTAACCCAACATCGTCATTTTTTAATGTTGGAAGAAATTTGACTGAGGTCAAAAATGTTGGCAGCCGACATCCAACAATTCTATTGTTTTGAAATTTTAGGTGAAATGTTGGATCGTTTAACCACCTTAGCCAACTTTGGTTAAAAAGCGCCACATTTCAATAATCGCATCGTCGTTGTTTTCTCTGGCTGGTTTCATTCATTTCAACAATCGCGTTTGCTTACAATCAGTTACCCTTTAATTATGGACAATATAACGCAATATAAAGAATTTTGTGCGAAAGAAGAGGCATTAAGCGTCAATCCTGGGGGGGGGGGTACTCCCATTATGGTCTTGAGGGTCTTACCAAATGGCTACCAAATGGCCCATTTCCGATAATAACTGAACTGCTCAGTTTAGTTTGCGTTTCGTCATAGATAATGAACAAGGTTTTGTCTTTCCCGAAACAACAACAATCAATTATGAAGAAATTTGTCAAAAAAGGACCAGGAAGGCACAAAGAAATGGATGCTACCAAGGAAATAATTTCGGTTTTTATGCCACCGTTTGAGGGTTTTTGTCAACAAATACTACCATTTGAGGGTAATTTTTTAAAATTTCAGCGTTGGCCCTCTTTGACCCTGACAGGCCATAATGGGACTACCCCCCCCCCCGGGCGTCAATGAAGAGCTGTTAGCACAGAGGAGCTACCAGAAAGCGCAGGAGGACGAATTTAGGCCACGGCCTTGATAGGACGGCCGACGCTCATCCTAAAAGACCGCGATGACAGTGAAAATATCTATCTGACTCCAGTTCGCAGAACAGTTCTTTGAATCAAGATCCCTGCCTTTCGTTTTTTTGGATCGAAATGTCGCGAAACTGTGCAGCCTTCAGCGGGACCTTCTACCCAGTCCTTTTTCGATCTGCGCGTGAAAATGTTGGGTGAAATGTTGGATGAAATGTTGCATCGTTTGACCACCAACGTTGGTAGTAATAACAAAACCACGATAAGAGTTACAGATGGTTCTTATCATAACACTCTCTTGTGTTTGTTCTTCAAGATTTTGATATCAATGTGATTTGAGTCGTTTTCAGTTTAAATGTAGTCAACGTTTTGTGAGTGCGTGACCACAGGGCACATTACAACATTAAAAAAAATGTTGGGTGTAATGTTGGATCGTTTGACCAGGGCTTTAAGCTTGTTATTGTTTGTGTAACACTTGTTTGCGCGTGAGGCGTTTAGTGAACTTGCAGATAGTAATGAAGTTTAGACCGCGTAAATTTGAATTAGGTTCATTAGTTTCTCTCAACCTTTTGATATCATTCGAACTACATATTTGTTGCATGTCATATATTATTCGTTAAATTTTTCTTTCGTGACAATGTATCTGTATTATTGAAATTAAAAACACGATAATGACTTTTTAGGTCTTTTTGGAGCAGGAGAAGATTACATCAGCCCAATAAAAGCAACTAGGGACTATGCTGACGATCAGTTAGAACTAGAGCCCCTCCATATCAGCCCTGTTGGTGAATTTCGATCACAGCCCACTAGGAGCGACTTAAGCAGTGCAGAAGCCGAGCGAAAACTAGAAGAATCCAAGAAAATGAGAGAAGAGGCTGCCTTGCTGTTGCAGGCTACACGCGAAAAGACCAATGCACTGATGAATGGAGATCGGGGGACTGGATCTAGTAAGACGTCACCGCGGCAGAGACCGTTCTCGTATGAAGACATGAGCGATTATGGAAGTGCTGATGTGGACGAGATCATCAGAGGAAAGTACGTAGAACCATGGCTTTTAACGGGCTTTTATGCAGCAAGTAGTGATAGATTCTCTCTTTTGCAGCGATAGAAATTTTGTGCATCGGTATTAAGTAGGTATTAGCTAGATAGAGGAACACCGTGCAAACATCAGCATTCTTTAATGAAAAGCAGTTTAAAAAGCATCTGATCTTATCTGTATATCAGGACAACTTTACAACCATACCTCAGGTGTGAAGAGGGCATAATTTAGCTCTCGGTCCATACTATTTTTCTTGCAGTTGCAGTTACGCGCTTCTAAAAAGGATCTTTGTGCCATTTCTCGATAATTTAGAATTTTTAACCTTTTACAATACTTTTTAGTTAGGCGACCAAAGCGGAAACGTATCGTTTTTACGTTTTGGTACCTTCACCTATTAACCTTTACAGTGTTACATTTTATTGACATGAGTGTAATTAGATGATATTTCAGCAATGTTTCTAGGCTCTTCGGCTTTGCCATTATAAAAACTGAAAAGATTAGATGGAATCTTTTGTAACTGACCAAAATAGAAAAACAAAAACTTGAGTACACTTTTTCAAATCATGATTCCGATCGAAATAGAATACATTAAATTCAATTCCGATTTTCGGGTTTTTTGGTCGTGATAACAAAACCACGATTAGAGTTACAGATGGTTTCTTATCATAACACTTTTTTGTGTTTGTTCTTCAAGATTTTGATATCAATGTGATTTGAGTCGTTTTCAGTTTAAATGTAGTCAACGTTTTGTGAGTGCGTGACCACAGATCTTGATTCATGTGGATACTTGAATTCCTCGGTCTTTTAAGGCTCAATAAACAATACTCTTCATGCTGAAACCATCTTCCGAAATATTGTGATGGTGCTGTGATTCAATATTTTTGTATACAGCTAATTTTAACCCGCAGTTTTCCTGTTCAGCCACGGCCTATTCTAAGTTTATACCGCTTTGCAAGAGGCTGATTTCACATCATGAGAATAACTCGTTTTTATTCCTCCCAAAAGCGGCGCCTACCAGCAGCATCCAGATGACATGATTCCTACACCTGCTTCAGATCTGATCAATGCTGATCTTCGTCATGAAAACCAAGTATGTATTCGTCGTTTTTTCTTCTTCTGTAAAATTCTCATGAAGATGCTAAAGCTGTTGTTACGTTGACGCCCCTGATGTATCACAAAAACCTGTGGATTGTTCACCGATTTTAGTATTTTCATTTGCATACCCAAGCCGAGGGCTGCGGTCGGTGAGGTTGATTTCCGAGCCAATTAACAAACGTAAGAAATATTTGTGATATCTCCTAGATAACTAAGATGTACTTCAATGTATGGAATTTTCCTGTTTTCTCATAGTTTTGTCCTGTCACCATTTTATAGGTCTAAAAATCCATGTAAACGTCATTTTGATCACTGGATAAAGATCATTGATGATGAAACAAATATAGGTCTTTGACAGTGGTACCCAGGTTTTTGTTACCTGCATAGCATTAAGGTTTTTCAAGGCTCTTTACCTATAATCTTACGCGACTTTTTTGATTTTAAAATTATATAGAAAAACTTTTGGCATTCTAATACTATCGTCTGACGTGAAATCTTAAAAATCATCAAACTTAAGCTATCCACATTGGTTCTAAGTCTACAGTTTGAAAGATCTTGTACCCAGTGTTCAGATTATGTACATTTTACCCTTTCTAAGTAAGAACCTAAGATTTTGCACATTTTGCTGGAAATGTTATGTTAAACATTTACACGATGTCGACTTTGAATTGCGAGCAGGTTCAATTGGCAAAGCTGCAAGGCGTTTATTCAGATATCGCTTATTTGTAAAATATTAATGCTATTTTGTAAGTCTGATTTATTTGACCCTCGATGCAAAAGGTTGTTTCAATTTCATGTGGCTTGAGTTTAAACACTTCTGTCCTATTCCAGCCAAATTTGTGCTGAGGGGACTAATAAAGTTTGTGACCTCTTTGGGCCATTTTGAGCTACAGATGCTCTAAAAATGTTATTGAAACGAGATCAGCGAAATTGAATTTTGACTTTTGATAGACCTGATTTGAACCTGATTTGAACAAGTCTGAAAGCTGTCAGCCTACGGGTTGTCGGAAGAAATGTTCGCGTGCATTTCTATTTAGTTTTTCATGTCAAGAATAAAAAAATTATATTTTGAGTGCTCAATTTGGGATATGTGAAGGGCTAACGGTTTGGTCAGGTTGCGCATGATTTTTCATTATAATGTTTTTTGGTTTTAGGCTGGATCACCCACACCAAACAGTCCATATGCGCGGTACGATTCTTCACCTGTGCAGGAGTTTAATCGAAGTGGGCAGCGGAGTCCGACCGGCATCTCAAAGATTTCTTTTGGCAAAAATGAATCGGACAGAGCTTCTTCGCAGATTAAATCATCCACCCCATTGGCTCTGTATACGTCATTGAGCCAAACTGGCCACTTTCAAGGTAAAACCGCAATTTTACCTCACTGCAACTCTGAATTTACCCTCACTGCTTTTTGTGCGAATTGAGGAACAAAACACGAGTAGGAAATATTTACAGGCCAACTTAAATTTGGAAAGATAGCCTTTAATTCTAAAACAAAGAAGCATTTTAAAAGAGGCAAATTTCCTCTAGTGTTACCTTCAAGAAAATTGATACGATCAAAGTTAAAAAATTTCACTGATCCTAGAGACTTCAGTATTAACTCTAAGATGTTATCTTAACGCTTTGCTGCGGTACACGTGTATTTTTCAGACAAGCTTATCGTCGGTGTTGATTCACAAGAACGACGTAATTTAAAAATCCAAAGTTGATTGCGGAGAAAGATCAGTTTGCTGTACTGAGCTTTGATGCTGACATTGGCTTTTGATTGTGTCTTTTGAACTTATTAATGCTTCTACATGACAACTGAATTCGCTGAAGTTAGATGTTTGGAAAATGTTTCTTTTGCAGACTCAAAGGCACTCGTGAAAATGCAAGACTCTTTACGCGAATCGAAGCGAGAAATGGAAAGACTGAAAGAACGAAACGCGACTCTGGAAAACATGAAGAGAACTATGGAGGCAGATATCAGGGAAATGCAAAGGTAAGGCAAGTGCCTATTGAGGCAAATAAGATAAAGTTGTTGCTTTACGTGCAATGTTTCAAAACACATCAAAGTCTGAGTTTTTTGCTATTAAACTCCACCACCATTGTGTACCGTTTTCTTGGTATGGTGGTATTCCACAATATATTTAAGAATTGTACGTGTTTGTTTAGAGGGATCGTGTTTGTTAAAATTGACTGAGATGGTAATGTAAAGATCTAGTTAACTACATCAGTTTTGCAGTAAATTCTGATATTCCAACGACTGTGCCGGAGCACAAACAGATTTCCAGGCAACTTTCTTATGTTTAAACTCACATTTGAGACATTCGTGAACTTTCACACTACATTTTTTATATCGATTGCTTGCACTGGGTAATCAGTTTTTTGAGCACCTCATAAGCCAGATTAGGCAACTTTTAGTATTGTACCCTCAGTTATTTTGCTCATGTTGTTTCAATCAGACGCTCTTGGATAGTCCGCTTTCTACATTTCCATACAGTAATCAGACCTCATGTGCTAAACAGATTTCTTTTTAAATGAAACTTTTAATGCCCCCAGTAATTTGAATCTAAAGCGATGAGATTAAAGGATGATTGACCAGTTCTTTTCACGATGGTCGCTTCTTATTAAGTCAACAGGAAGAATGAAATAATTATGCTTAAATGGTATTCATAATTATAAAAATTGCCATTAAATCTGTAAATCGGTTCAAAGAAGGTCACCAAGAGATGACTTGCGCCCACATTTTGTGAGCACATGAATAAACCAAATCGACCCGACATGAAAAGCAGGAACAGCTTGAATTTTTTGCACTTACGTGAGCGCTTTGTTCCACCCTTGAACTACACAGAGTTTTTCTAGGTCTTATTTCAGGCATATTTCACCTTGTTGCTTTGATTGGTGTTTGAATCCTCAATGGTCCGCTATTTCACGTTAAAAACTCCAGCAATGTTTTTCATTTAATAGTTTTTCAAATGATTTCGCATAAATCCAATAGTTAATGCAGATGTACAATAGCCGACGAAGCTCTTTGCTTTAGCGTCATTATTTTCATTTCCATAACAGGAGCATAAAACTAACAGTATATAAGCATAAAATATTTGGCAGATGGGAATTTTGTACAGCAAAATTTGAAAATAGCACGAAAAGCAGTAAGACATTTGTCCGGTTTTCCCTCGCTATTTTCAAATTATTTTATTTTGTTGCATAATAATTGTTTTTCCTGCGTAAATAAAGCTCTTGTTTCCTTGTGTCCGTCTGGCAATTGACGCCAAATACTATCAAACTTATTTGACGTCAAATTTAAAACGATGAAATCAGTTCACAGAAACAGTATTTCCAGTGTTGTCTTGACTTTCATGTTGGAAGGTTACCTTGCTGGCTTGCAGGCATGGATAGGTTATATGTAGACCTGGGAAAACCAGGGTATGTTGTTTGTATGGCTTTTATAAGAAGTTTCTATTGAGATATTTGTTGTTTTGGAACGCTAGATAAACGTGACCCATGGATAGAAGCATGCGCCGCGCGGATTAGATTATGATTACGCGTTTAAAATTGACCTGGCAGAGGATCTTAAATCTTAAACAATAGCAGCTTTAAAACGATTTTTTGATCAAATCAGTTACATTTCATTTATCACAGGACTGTGGAAATTTTGAGTAAGTCGCAGACAGATTTTGAGCGGCATCGTCTCGACATGGAAATGGAAGTGCGGGATCTGCAATATCGACTGGAACAAGAAGTGGAGGCAAAGGCAACCGCCGAAGGGATGGTTTCTCAATTGAAGGATCAAATAAAGAGAGGAGACGAGAAACTGACTGCGTAAGTCCTCCCGTCTCTCCTTTTTCATGTATTTTTGCAGTTATACTTCCAATGAATTGGGAAAATTAATTTGTATTTGAAGAAATCGCGATCTGAATGGTACTTTCAAGGACAATATTTATTTATGCTTACTTTCATGAATTAGAACATTTAACAACATTATTTAAGACGCATTAAGTTTGAAATTTAGTTTTTGATAAAAGGATATTTGAAGACAACATTTCCTCGCATTTCTTCACAAAATCGTAAACGTCTATTCCCAATAATTATTTTACAAAAATCCTTCATAATCTTTTGATAACTCTTGCTAGTTATTGAATTTCAGTAGATTTACTAGATTCAGACTTAAGTCCCGTCTGTAAGACAGAGAGTGTAAATGTTTCTCAAAAAAGAACTTCAGCTTCCAAGGCGTAAGTGCTTCAGATTCATAATTTACAAATATGACAAAGTGTTTTTTTCTGCCCAGTTTTGAAGAATTTTATGGTATCCATCGAGGTATCAGGAAGCTAATTACCTAGTATTTATCTTTAAACAGCTGTTAAAATTGCATTTATTAGATGAAAACCAATCGAAACCTGGCCCCTTGGAATAATTATGCCTTTTAGTAGCCTCAAACAGTATATATACACGATCGATCTTAATCTATAAGTCATCAAAGTTTTGTATTGTTAGACAGCATTATGACTGAAGAGACAGCGTCTCTGAAAAGTCTTAATTTGAAACAATCAGCTTTGGCTTCCTTTCATCCTCATCAACAGGATCAAAATTTCATTTTACGATAAAATAGTCTCTGCAAATCCCGTTGCAGAAATGAATAATGAAAGCCCAATGTTAATTCGCTATGAGTTGGGTTTTGCATTAGTTATTGAAGTCAGGTCAAGAATATCAGCTGGCAAATTATTCTTTATTGGTATGAAACAGAATAAAAATTGAATTTTTAACAACGGTGTCTTGATGTTTGATCAATATTTAATAAAAATAAATCATTTGACTTTATTAACAGAGAGGCAGAAGCCCGCCAGACGATTGAACTGGCCTACAAAACACTGGAAGCGGAATTCAAAGTTCGTGATAGCCTAACAAGTCAGTTTCAAAGTGATATCAATGATCTGAAGTACACATTGCGACATGAAAGAGAAACTCGCCTTAATCAGGTTGGGAGATGTTTAGTCATGTTGAACGTAAATGCACTGTTTGAATCTTTGAATAATAGTCTTTCTAGAGATGTTGGAAGGATTGTGTCATTTTGGACATTGTGAACTGGATAAGAACGCGTCATCAAAATAACTTCAAGTCTGCAAGGAAAAGTGACATCATATGATACAGGGGGCTGTTGCACCACTTTGCCAGTTTTTAACCACTTTCTCTCTGTGATCTCGATCGTTGTATCGCCACCGGGTGTTTCCTTTTGACCCTATGTCGATGAAATTTCCTTTAGCATCCAGACTGCTGCTACAATTACCACGAGCTCATGTCTCCATGTCTCATTATTGTATCTGTGCTCTCTTGCTCTCTCCATTTGCTTGTGAAGTTTCCATTTCATTTATTTCTATGAACGGGTGTTTTTTTAGGAGCAATTGTACAGAGACCAGCTACAGCAACACGAGGCGTTATTAGAAGAAGCCCAAAGAACATCATTTCAACATGCACAAACTGTCAATCAACTAGAGGTGGTGGATCAAAACCGTCAATCAGCCGAGTCAGCTGCCAATCAATTAAAGGTTGAAGTTGCCAAAGCCAAGGTAAGATGGTGTTTCACTACTCTATTTCACTTCACGAAACATTGATAAACGTGCATTTGCAGATTTATTTTACATTTGTATAAACATTAGAAACAGTTCCTGTAATTGCCTCATAATCTTTACCCGTGCTTAGAACTCCATGGTTGACATTTGTGATTTGTGTCGTAGGGTGAACTTACAAGAGTCAGTGCACAGTTAGAAGAAGTCAAGTCCACGTACGATAGTGAAGTATCAAGACTTAGAAACAAGCTGCAGGAAAAATCTGATGATCTGGTAAGAATAGTTGTTTCTAATGCCAGTCAATGACAAATGTAGAGATCTTTCCCTACAGTTACTGCCAAAAGTCTTGGTACACTTAAAACCCCATTCACACGTGCCGATTTTAGTCACCTCTTGTCAAAGAGTACAGTCCAGTTGAAGAAGTTAGCGTTTATACACGCAGACTATTCACATTATGTTCCTGGGGTTTTCTGGCAGGCAACTTATTTACATTGATCTTTGCATTTAAAATCACGAGGGCTGTTGCTTAGAAAAAATCCGCCTGAAATCATCAAAAATTGAGAATTTTTAAAGATCATTCTATCTCAGGGTGAAACAATGATTTTCTGGGTGAAACAATGATTTTCTGATTTTGATAACACTCTGTCATTTCACCATCTTCTTATTTCATCCAAGGCTTCAGAAATTCAAAGTAAAGCATACTTAGATAGTGAGAATTAACGATTCCCCATGTATATGTAACCAATTCTTGTTTTTTGTATTCTTTTGCTAACGTGTGGTGCTCTTTGACCAAGGTTAAGGCTGAACGAGAACAATTCCAAGCTCATATGCAGATCGAGGCTGAAAAATCGTCATCCAAAGCGGAACAAATGAGATTGCAGTCGGCTCTTGAACACGAGGCTGCTAATAAAAAGAGACTTCAAACAGAGGTATGCACATTTTGCTCCTCCTTTTCGAGTCATCCGACTAATTTTGACAAAAGAAACATTCTTGCAGAGAGCTCCATTGCAATTTCCTTCGATAATTCAATTTGACTTTCTAGAGAGCATTAATCTGTAACTTAGTCGTGTAGTTTGAACGTTAAGAAGTAGTTTTTCAATTTTTAAGCAAAAAATGTTGAGGATTTCTTTATTACCTGCTTAATGCGACTTTTTAATTGGAGGCATCTTTTTTAGATAAGTGTTCTGAAGACACAACTGCAGAATGCGAGTAGTGAACTGGAAAGGGTTTCTAAGACAAAATCAATAACTGAGAGGTTTGTCGACTTTTATGTAGAGTTTTAATTAATCAAGATATCACGCTCTTCATTGCGTTTCTTATCTCAGTTACTCTCCTTTCAAAATCGAGTCTCTTGATAAAAATTTGTTACTGTCTTAGTCCTCACCATAATAATATAACAATGAATTCAGTAAATCATCATTGTCAGGCTTTAGGTGCTAGTAAAGAGGTTCATCTGGTCGTTCAAGGGCAATAAAAAGGAAGGGTTATTGGTCTGTCATTTTGTAATGTAATGATATAGCAAGTGAAGTGTTTTGTTGAAACAGAACTGCAGATCTCAACTCCATCTAAGCTTCCCGCTGTGTTTTTTGACATTACAAATTGAATAAACCTTGTCATTTCAACAGTTTTCGAACATCCTTACGTTTCAATCTACCAAAATTTTTAATAATTCTGGACCAAGCATACATGACAAGTAACATTTATTTGAGTCTCCATCACTGCGTTTTTATTTGTCTCAGTAAAGTGAGTCAAATCCAATCTTCATGTTCATCTTTCTTGTTTGCAGCGAAGTTAGTAAGTTTAAAGAAGAATCGTTCAAAGACAGAAACAAACAAGATAGGGAAATCGCCAGTGCTAAGGATGAAGTTCAGGTGCATTTATTCTCAATGGAAATTCTCTATGAGCTGTTCATTGCTTACGATCAAAATTAATTTGCTTTTACAAATTCTAAAACAACACCACAGTTACAAGACCTGTCTTCTTCAAATATCTATACAAACCCATAGGTTTTTTTAGCACCATTAATGGGCCTAACTTTATCCAAACGGCTGCGTATCAGCAATCTGTTACTTGGGCTTTTTGCTGTCCATCTTGGATGTACCAATATAACGTGAAAATCATCATTGTATTTTATAATACTGCATATGCAGTACACTGATTTATTTTGCTGTAAAATATCACTATCATAGCCACCCATAACATTTTTACTCTATGGTTGATATAATTTAAAGATGTATTCGATCCCTACAAGAGACACTGAATTCGTTATTTTAGTTTAGATTTCTTTCAAATTTAACGTTATCCTCAGATTTGTTCTAGATGCGATTAGTTTTTCCGTTTCAATTTATTTTTTGCACACTTAACGTGGAACTGCACCCATTTTATTTCAGAGAATTTTTGTCAAGCTTGATGCCTCCGAGAGACGCTGTGATGCACTTGAATCTGAGGTTCATTTTCTAAACCAAACTTCATTTTGCTCTTTTCATTTCATTTTGAATCATAAACACACACGACTTCTAGACCTGCCATCTTTTGTCTGGTTATTTTACGTTGAACTATTAAATTCTTCAAATTTCTTCAGTCTCAGTTTTCCTCGATTTCCAGTTTTCCAACATTCTGCTTTAATTTGATTATCAATTAATTTGCTTCTGAATGGATACATTTCCCTTTTTGCACTTTTATTTGGTGGGCTATCGCACCTTTTTCGTTGATACCTTCTCTTCAAAGAACTAATAATGTATTTTATTTAAACTCTCAATTTTTCGTTATGTATCTTATTTCAGTTGCAATCAGCAAAAATTTCACTTGCTGAAAAGTCTGGGCAGCTTGTGATGTCTGCCCGTGAAGCGGAGTATAGGGGAAATTTGTTAAATCAACTGGAAGAGAAGCTGAGGCATGAAAAGGTTTGTTTGCTATTTATTCTTTGAAGTTTTCAGGATTCGAGTTCTTTGAAAATTACATTGGAGTTTCTCAGCAGATTTTCATGTTGAGTTGTTTTGTGGTCTTTTTAGGAAATCAGCAACCGATTGTCTTCAAAAGTTGAAGGTGGCAGTGAGAGGTAGATACTGTAGTTTTGTATAACTTAAAGTGAAGCCCCGGGAATCTTAAGCACTTTTGTTTAATTAAGCAAGTAGATTTTATGCTATGTATGACTCAATCAGGTCGTCTTTCTAAAAACCCTTTTATAAATTCTTTTGCTGTACGTAGCCTTATGGTCACACATTTTCACCCAGGTACCTTTAACAATTCTATCAGCTGTGGTTTTTTGCTTCAGCTTTTGGATGTTACCTTTGTTTTGTGTTATTTCCTCTGATTTAATGGATTTCTCTATACATTTTTTCAAGAACATCAATCCTGCAAAGGGAAATTGATAACCTCAGAAGGGAACTCGAAACAGCCAATCAGCGAACGAGTGACTGTGATAGGGCTGCTCGAGACGCACAGGTATTCTTTGATCAAAAGCTAGCTTTATAAGACCCAGCTGCTGGCTTTTCTTGGAATGGATAATGCTGTTTCCATGACAATGCCGTTTTCCTTTAACATGTGTGACATCGCGCATAGTTTTTTGCAATGGTTGAGGGACGCTGCTCCTTCGCAGCTGGAAGTTCTTCGTTTCTGTCTGTCTGCCAAACAAGTGGCTTCTGATATAAACGGCATTTTCCCAAATTGCATTTATCCATGTGAATGCTGGGTTTTTGAATATCTGCTAGAGCCCTTTTGTATTAGGCAAATTTTTGTCATGAGCAGGTAATCTAAGCCATCTGATATTGATAACCTCGTTTCTTCGTCATTTTCTTTCAACATCAGACAATTTGAGATATTTGTTAAAATATTAATTAAGGTGTTAGCAGATTTGTTGCTCTGTGCCTTTTTTATACTTCTTTAGTAACTCTAAACTTGAATAATTTCCCCCTTTTCTAGGAGAAATTCCAGACTTTGCTGTCAAAAGCAAAAGAAGAGTTTGAAAAGGTGAGCAATATCTTTGCTGCTGTCAAGACTATCGCCTTGAGTTATCTAATTTCTTTTACCAAATAACTGAAATTTGCGATTTTTTTAGAATAAGTAGATAAGCAACGTAGATCTCAGTCTTTTTTAATTTGAATGTTGAAATAGCCGTTCCGTTTTAACTGTTGTATTTGATTGTTGTGAACAGGAGAAAAATAACCTCGAGCAGAGGATTTTGCAGCTGAACGAGGCTTCATTGCGGTATAGAGAAGAACATGCCGAGTTGAAAGAGGATCTTAAAGGAAAAGACAACGAAATCCGCCTTATTGAGAAGGTACAGCTTATTTTGTCGTAATTTTGCAATTTGATAGACTTTGCTTGGCTAGGAAGCAAGCCATACCTGTACTTTGAAGAAAAAGAAATAACATTTTTATGACGTAGCGCTGGTCCTCCGGGTGCAGTCTTTTGGTGAGATGCTCAGAGAGAATTCTGTAGCTTACACCCACTTTTTCGTAATTGAAATTTGAGAAGACAAACAGTGCTTTGATGAACTTCTACCACCATTTTTCCGAACAAACATCAATTTTACAGATTTTACACGCTATATACCCTGTATTTAAGCTAGTAACAGAGCACGATATTTCAATTTTATACAGGAAATGAACGAATTGGCAAGACAGCTTTCAGCAAGTGAAGCCGGTAAAGAAATTCAATCAAAGGTAAACCCTGCAAATATTGACTTTACTTTATGACTGAATGATAAATGTGCTGTATAATCATGGATCACGACGTATTGGGAAACTGATTTATTGCGATTTTCATTGATACCACACTAAGTATTGAGTTTGTTTGGACGCAAATTTTGTAGCATCACTGGTCACAAACGAGCCGAGCATGAAGCAGCCAAGATTGTAGAATTTCGTATAGTTACACGAAACTGGCACTTTTTAAAGGTCGCCTGTTGGTGTAAAAACCCAATCCTCAAGATTTATACACCGAATAATATCTAATTGCTAGCAAATATTTTCAAGCGAAACGTAATTGATTTCAAATTCTTTAAGGTGTTGAAGAACCTGAAGAAAGGTGAAGTCATAGAACCTTATCTTTGCCCTTGGGCCCAGTCCTTGGACGGCGAGATAGAGAAATGAATTTTAGAAATCTTGAAACGATATTTTATTCGGTTCCTTGTTTTTTCTGTGCTGCCAGTTTCCACAACATTGCTCCCTTGCTTTTGCTTTTTTATTTAATCGATACTGCCTGATTATTGACTACTCAACTTTGAAAACCTGGCGTTTTCTTTGAAGACTAAAGAACAATTGGAGAATGAAAACAGCAGGCTGAATCGACAAACTGTTATGTTGGAGAAGAAGGTAGGAAAATTGTCTTTCTGTCGTCATTGAATTGAAAATATGAAATTAGTTCATTGCTTTACCCTGTCGGTAATTAAGAAAGCCTAATAGGGGATTAGAAATGATAACATTGATGTTTATAAGGGTATAATAAGGTTGACTGCTGGCTGCTATCTATGACGTAAATTCTCAATGACATCACGTTGATTAGAAGCCTAAAATGAAAATTTAGGTAACAATTTTGGCCTGTTACTTTTTGTAAATGATTTCGAAATGTTTTATTGAATTCTGCACAGCTCGATGAAGTCTCATCGTTAAAAAATGAGCTTGCAAACAAAGTCGACGATCTCACAGAACAACTTGAACACGCCCTAAAAGTGACAAACCACACTAACAGCCGACTTGTGCAGAAGGCTGCGGATGTGCAAAATGCACAGTCTTCAAGGGTAAGAATTCTTCAGTTCATGTTTCTGTTAATCTATCGCAGTAATTATGCAGCTGGAGCTTTTGCATTGTTTTCTGGTCTGGTTTCATATAATCTAGATTTTTATTTGGGAATGTTATATTTCTTTCCTTCTTCCCCAATTTCTTTTTCTTACCCTGTTACCTTCTCCTTCCCAAATTTACTCATTTTTTCCAAGGGCCCCGTTGCCTCCTTCCCCCATTGCCTCCTCTCCCAATTGCCTCCTCCCCCTATTGCTTCCTTCCCATATTGATTTCATCCCCCATCGCCTTCTTGCTCCATTGCCTCCTTCCCTCATGTATATTATTGTCTTATTTTCAGGCTGAATTAGATAGAGCGATTACTAGGCTGAAAGTAGAAAAGGCCGAATTGGAAAGTGAGTTGAGAGAAGAGCAAGGAAAATGTGAAATGATTCTAAGTGATCTAAGACAGTCAAACGAGGTATGTTTGTCTTTTTATTTTATGCAGTTATGTAATAGAAAGCTAGCCATTCATCACTTAAAGTATCCATTTCATAAAGAAAGATGAACTAACTGGGTACAAAGTCTATTTAGAGCAACTGTCTTTATAATGTCCACTGGTAAAGTTTAATTAAAGACAAAAATTAGCAATCAATCAGAATAATTTTAGATCTTTATTATCTTAGTACGTTAAAGTTTAAATACTTTGGTTTTGTAGCTCTCATTTTTTAAACAGATCTTATTAGATTTAAATGACATCATTAAATATAGATAATCCTCAGGCAAGTGGTATTGTTCGGGAGCCTTTCAAAATCGTTACCGTCTCAATTGATTGTTATTTCGCTATTAAAGCTGCTCTGGGCCTCCAAGAGAGAATTCTTTATTAACTCCAATGTGTTTAGAAGAAGTCAAAGCGCTGAGTTGCTCTTTGTTCCATGCTCTGTGCCAAACGAATAGTTTCCTTTCGCTCATTGAGAATAAAGTTAGTCTTGTTGGGTGTCAAGCATCGATAAAAAGTGAGTTTACTCTTCATTCGTGGCTGTGATTTTCACTTTGCATAGCTAGAAGAATTTGTGTAATTACCTGTCAGCAAGTCTGTAAAGTAAGGTTTAGCTTACCCATGCTCTGGAAGGCACTCCAAAACTGAATTCCATTCATCCATGCATGAACCTCATGATATACTACAAACCTCCTGAGGCACTGTCTGTATGGTGTCATAATCAAATGACATCGCTATAACGTTATATGTACTTATCACTATAATGGGATTCTGTGTTTACTTACTTTATACAAATTCGTATGTACAACGCAGACTAATCCGAATCGGTAGATGACTAAATGAAATAGTGAATAAATCGATTAATCTAAATTAATAAGTATGTTTAAAGTACCACACTAAAGGGATATATAAATGCAAATTTCAGAGACATACTGGCAATCATTGCATTTACAGTTTGGGTCATTCCGCATTTTTAGCATAGGCTTAAAATCTGTTCAGAATTTGTGCAGATTTCATTTCATTCGGTATTCTATTCAAAATTTGTCCTCCCAATGTCCATATGCTATTAGAAACAATGGGTATCTGGTTTGGTCTGTAATGTTGTAAGTCATTTGGATTTTTGACGAATAAGTAGAGGATCTAATTTTGAAAACGTCATGCATGAAAGATAGAATTCAGATTTTCCAATGTCTTGAAATTTTCAATCCAAAGAACTGTCATATGAGAAATATGCATTGTACACCTTTCTGATTTCACAAGTCAAAGCAACGTAAAGTAATTCATATTGAACAGCGTTACTTTTCGTTGCTTTTCGTTGCTTTTCGTTGCTTTTCGTTGCTTTTCTTTGCCTTTCTGTTGCTTTTCGTTGCCTTTCTGTTGCTTTTCGTTGCCCTTTCTTTGCCTTTTCAATTCTTATTTCACGATGGCCTGACACAAAAACATGTTGTAGCCCAGTCTAGTTTTGTTTGCCCCAAAGTTCTCCATAGTGCAACAAAAAAGTTTGCAACGACAGCCGTCAAACTCAAAAGTACAATATTGAGAGTATGAGTCCACCTCAATAGCGGAGGATAATAGCAAAGATCCATTATACTGCAGTGACGCGTAACAAGCCGAAGGGAACTGCGTGGAATCTTTTGGGTTAGGTCGCTGATTTGTGACTTGATGAGGGTACCCATTGAAGCAGCTGGCCTGGCCCAAGAATTGTATAGAGAGAATGATGTACTTCCATTCATTGTGTTGGCTTATAGATGAATTGATGTGCTAGGTGTATGGGTAATTAAAGTAGCCTTGATGTGCCCGTTCCCACAGACAGCAAATCATAAAGGATCAGGCTACAAATTGAATGATAGTCGATGAAGCAAAAATGATTGTTGTTATAGCTTTGATCTTAGCTTTCAACTCAATTGTTTTTTCATTTTTGACTTTCGAACTTGATAAAAAAAACAGCTCATCATAATCATGTTTATGTTATATTTCTGAAAATCTGGTCGATAATTACGAGAAATAACTTAATTATGGATGATACATGATATAAACCCTGTCTTGTAATTGATTCCAAACAAAACAATGCCAAATTATTAATTTATAGTGTTTGAAGGATTGCATTGTTCTGGAACATGAATGAGTCAATTGTAAGTACCAAACCATAAAAACGTACCCTCGCCAAGCACTGGATGTTTTCCGACTTTTTCATATAAAGTTGACAGCAGTTTGTGGCTTTGATTTGCCTATCTTTTATTACCTGTTTTGTTGCTGGTCAGCTAATAAAGAAGTAGAAAACAGTTTTTCGAGATTCAGTTAGCACTTTGCAAAGCAGCTCGGCATGGATCAGACGTTTGTGCCAAGAGGCAAAAGTGAAATGTTTTATACAGGCTCTAATGGACGGTTGGTTTCTCGAAGTCGATCATTTGGTAGCCAATTACAAGGAGAAAACATGCTCATCATGTGTCTGGGCACAAAACGTTGCAAACTTTCTTGGCCTACAAATGACACAAGACTCGCAGAGTTCAAGTTAAAGGTAGAAATAACTGGTTATCCAGAGAAATTACATTATTTGTGATTGGTACACGTTTCGCTGTATGGTTAAGGAAAATTGTTCAACCTGTGCATCTAAAGGTTTCAAATATGCGTTAATTTTGATCTCGCATTGAACCACAAAAACGGTTCTGCTTGGTACTTTTCAATTTGACCCTGGAAGACACAAGAAAGACTTTCTGCAATTTTTTTTCGATCGTTATAGCTTTGCACAGCAATATAAATTCACTGGCTGTTTTTTGAAATGAAAGATATTTTCGATCGAGCTACAAACTAGTGAAGCTATGCGAAACAATTCATTTTACAGGTGGTATCTCACAGATTAAAATTAAGTTTGTACAAGTTGTCACTGAGCCATGTCCTGTAGACGCCCAGTACAACTGTATCACGTGTTTTAAATGCAATCACTCTATCGAGTTCAGGTCTACAATGCGCTTGTTATAATGATTGCAACTCAACTGTATCCAACTCCACTCACAGCCTGCGGAATCAAGTGATTTGCAAGTCTGTAGGCTGGCGATTTAAGTTGATCTAACGACCTGCTGCAAGTGCCCTGGCCTCGCCTGCCCTCTTTGAATACCTGAATCAGCCCACCCGTTTCTCAATGATAAGCCTAAATTACGATCAACTTGCATTAGCTAAAGGATGGCTTTTGCCTCTTAATCATAATGAGATTACTTTCGGGAGATTGTTTTCATACAAGATGGCCTCTGCATCGTGGAATGAAAGTTCTTTTAAATGTAGAGATACATCGATTCCTGAGAGTGTGGAAATAGATTTGGTTTGTGCCAAGGAGGATTTGTCTCAGGTCTGGTGGTTTGGTCACTAAACGAGCTTTGAAATGGTGTTTTTATTTCACAACATTGTGTTAAAACTAGCCCTTGGACAGCGATCAAAAGGAGCATTGATTTTGATGTGGTTTTGCTGAAATTTTGTTCTAGTTTTCTTCCAACAGAAAATGTTTAAGACAATTAGAAGCAGTCATGTAACGTTTTTGGACTGGTCATAAATATTTCAAATGTTGCTCAAATAACAGTTCATTTCTCTTCGTATCATAGGCAAGGGAAAGTCTTGAGAAGATGCTTGCAAACCTTAAGGTATCAAACGTCCACCTAGAGGAGAAACTGCAGTCTGAAACATTATCACGTGTTCAACGCGAAAGAGATGCAGAAGACCACAAGGATCTTTGGAATTCTGAAGTCAGATCCAGATCAAAATTAGGCTTAAAGGTAGTTTTGAAAACTTTTCAAAGTTTCCATTTGCTTAATACCAGCTAATGCTGCTTTTTGTTTTGACTCATTTTCTAGTTATCTTTCTTTCTCTCATTGTACCTTATTTTTTCTGTTTCTTTATTTAGCTTGTATCAATGGAGAAAGAAATTCAGGCACTGAAATCTGCACTGGAAGAGGTTTGCAACCTTCTTGCTGCTATGATCCCTTTCTTAGTCGTTATTCTGCATTCACTTGAAGCCTCTTTTACCTCTTTCTTTTTGATGTAATTATATTAGACGGCATTCGTTTTCTCATTAAGAATCTTCGCTTAAAATATTTTCTAGGAAAAACGGAAATCATCTCAAGCAGACGAGCTGAAAAAAAGCCTGGACTCCAAACTAGATTTATACGATAAACGGTAAGCCCTTCATCACATTTTCTCGTCCTATGGGCAGATTTAGATTTAAACGCTGTTGCACCAACAAAAATAAATCATTTTCTGTCTCGCATAGCAGATCTGCAAGAGAACACTTAGGCTATATCATAGCTTTCTAGCAAAGTAACCTTCAAATGTTTTTTTTCAGTTCTCTTCAGCATCAAAAAGAGGCCAGTGCATTGAAAAGCAAACTTAGGCAGTATCAAAGGAGGCTGAAGGTAGCTGTTGTTGTTACTTCAGAATCTCATTTGTTGATTATAAGTATGGAACTCTTGACTAGATCTGGCATCTGTTTTTTACAATTTTTGATTAAACTTATACCCTTTGGCTACGGTTTCAATCATTTTTTTCTAAAGTTCATTTCCTAATGATTTATATGGTGTCGTCATTTACAATTTTTCAGAAGTTTAAAGTTTTCAATACATTGTCTATAAATGCCGTCATTTGTGTGCTATTTATACGTCTTTCGTAATTGCTCTTTCAGTTATTTCAAACTCTAGGACTTGTATCAAGTTAGATTCTGAAATCTTCTGCATTTTCTTTATTGACATTACAGTTGCCGGTGCATTCTTATACCTTTTAAGTTAATGTAAAATATGCTTCAAGAATCCACTTGGATTAACGAAGAAGGCTCATGCTCACAAATGATCAATTTTCGCATTTCTATTCCATTGCATTGACATTCCTCGTTTTTTAGGACTTTGAGCATGGAGAGTCACGTATACCGAAGATTTATTCGGAATTCGAGCGTGAACGAGAGGTCATGATGAATAACGCATCCAATCTTAGAAGACAGGTTAATCATCTTTAAATTTATCTTCCAGATGCTTTCTATCTTTCTGACGATAGTATTTTCACCATTGGAACTATAAATTTCGACTCATGTTTCATGTGGTTCCTGGTTAGGCCACATACATACGTGTATCCATTTCTTTTTACGTAGTTTCGACCCGCAACTAATTTTCAATATTATTACAATGGTGCCAGATAAAATTTCTAAAGAGTTTGTTAATTAAAAATTTGAGAAATCGAACAAGGATAAGTATAGAACTTTGCTAGTTGCACCGGAAAGATATCAGTGCTTTAAAATATTTCTCTGTACAGACGGTATTTCACAGTTTGCTTCTTTGTAGGTTGACTCTTTAACTGACCAACTGAGGCAGGAGCAAGATGGCAGATCACAAGCACAAATAGGCTCTAAGAGAAACGAGCAAGGTTAGATCTCAAGAACTTTGCTTGTGACGTCATTTAAATGCAATCTTAAGTTGATTTATTCTTGTTTTTTACTTATTAAGTTGCTTTTTATTTTAGTCTTCGTTCTGGGCTTTGTTATAATGGGAATGCATTTCAAATTGAGTTTTTTTTTGTTTTCAGAGTTAACCGACCTTCGCACGAGAGACAAGGTAATATTTCAACTTTTTTCCTGAAAATGACTATTGAGGATCCAATAAATATGAAGTATTAAAAATTTCAAGGACTACGCTTTTGCTATGATATATTGGAAATGTGTATTATTATTTGTAAGTAATATATTATGTCATTCAATTCTCAACAACAATGCTTATCCCTTTGTTTCAGATTTTATCTTTCGAAAAATCAAAGTTAGAAAATGATAATCGGTTATTAGAAGATGAACTAGAAAGACTTAAAGTAAGATTTGATTTTCATTTCTTATCAAATTACAATATGTCTAGTTGTAGTTTATTACAATATATGTAGCATAGTTTACGCGTTACTTGCGTTGTTGTTAACACTTTGAAAATGATCGTTAGAAGCTTTGTTATTAGGAAGAAATTCTCTGTTGATGTTAACTTCTGTTAATATGATTTTGTCAATCAAAGAAGTAAAGATAAATTTAATTCCATACCAACCATATAGCCCGATGGGAAGATAACAGTGTTTTGCCTGCTCTACTGTGATCTGTTGGTTTAGTTAATACTCTGATCACCTTTCGTTAACGTTTTTGTTGAAAATTTCTCATTTCATTTGTTTCAGGATTATTACGAACAGAATTTTGTAAATAAAAGTAACTTAGAATCCTTCAAGAGAGACATTGAAACCAAGGTTTGTCTTTGTTATTGCATTTTATTTATATATTGACCTCGACCTCCGGAAACAATGTTTCCCTCTGCCTTAGCTCGTGATAAGACTTGTATGTGCTTCTAAAGTTCAGTCATAATAGTACAAGGGAGTCACGGGGGTGGCTTACTAATATTCATAAATTATGTCGATCAATATTTTCCGTTGAGATCACAATATTTTTTAAAGTAACATGCTATTTTGGAGCTCAGACTTATAGTAACTTATAGTAAGAAGTCTGCTAACGAAATGCCAGCACTTATGCAAGTAAACGCGATACTGGCCATGTGCTTAATGCAATATGTCACAATTTTGTCACTGCCTCTTATCTCAAACAAAACCTTATGTATCAAGTACGATTCAGGAATGTTGCCTCTGTTTAAAATGCAAAGCGCCAACTAGAAATACCCACTTTCGATTTTTACCGTCGAAAGTCGATCATATTTGATAGTGTCCTCAGCCTACCCAATGCAGGTATAACCAATTCAATAGATGTACAATATAAATTCTATTGTATCATAATTATTGTCTAGCGATCTTCCAATTATACTAGTTTGCTGCTCCGGGTTAAGAAATTGTCATACCATTAGTCATACCGAGCAATATTGCCAAATTGGTTAATAGTATAAAGCTTTTTCTAATCAGACAAAAAAGCCTTTTGCAAATCCTTTCTAGCGAGATAAATCCCCAAGATCTTTGGGCACATTATTCCTAACACGAGTTTCCTGGTCTAGAAGAATTTTGCCATTTCTATTCTTTTTTGGGTTTTTTAAAACTTAGTATCTTGTTGCTTTGTATGTAAATTTAGATTGTTTATTTGATGATCAAATTATTTCGAAAAATGCATAAACGTTGACACGTTAAATGGATAACTGAAACTACAAATGCAGTGATTAAATACGATAAATCGAACACAAACCACAAAATGAGGAAAGTTCTTCAAAACGTTTTTAAAATTACTATTATTACTGGTTTTATTAAAACCTCGAAATGTATTTGTGAATCCGATAGTAAAATTTCTTTGTCTTTTTATTCGTTTAGGCCCGATTAGAGATTAATAAAAAACTGCAAGATGTCAACATGCAACTTGAAGAGCAGGTATGCCGTTTGCTTCTCCTGAAGAAACTGATAATATCTTTGTTTGCAATAATTGCGTTGTGATTTCTTTGACCAGCTCTTTGAAATCCCTTAACGTACAAAGGTTGGTGTCATAGACCCATAAGACCTGACCTGTCTGTACCACTCCCCGTTCATAATCTGCAGTTTACTCAAGTCTCAAAAAATTAGGTTCAAGAGATTTCTATGACTTTTATTTTGTTCACCAAAAGCCTGGAATAAGCCTACGAATACACATTATTGTAATTTCTTTTATGAACGATAAAATAACGATTGCCAATACTGTGCATCAGTTAAAGCAGTTTAGAGAATAAACGGAATCTTGTCATATAGAAGTCAGCGGACACCATTTTTCTAACTATGGCATTTGATGATCAACGATAAAGCCAAGCTCGAAATTTACCTTTTTAGAATTGGAGGATCCGAATTTGCCTAAAGAATTTTAAAATTAAGTCGAAATTGAGAATTTGAATTACCACCCCTAAAGAATTTGAAAATGCAAAATGAAATCAAAACTTTTTTTATAGTGACATTTGATGTGCTAATTTTGAAAGAATGGGATAAGTCAGAGGTATATGAAAATCTGTTTTGATTGCATTTTGCAGGCCGTTGCAAGAGAAGCCTATGATCGTGTGCGAACTGAAACAGAGTCGAAATCCAAAAAAGAATTAGAGGATACTATAAACGAACTCAAGGTAAGTAACTCATCTCACGCTAAACGAATTTGCAAATTCTCGTTAAGCTACATCAATATAATCAAATGAAAACACCCAACAGCTCTCTCTACTGTTCTTGTTTTCAGAAATCAGTCAGAGACTAGAAATATCGCAGATTTCATCGTCTGTTATAAATAATGTTTTCAATTATTGTTCTGACTTTTTGCAGTATGCGGCCATCTTTTTTCTTTGCAATTTAGAAAATTTGCATGTTCGGTTGCAAATATGTACTTGTTTGTGAAAGTATGAAGACAAAACAGGAAGCCTGAAAACAATCTTTTACATTAATGTATTGTAGTTATGATTTCACGAATATTTATACTTTCAGGGGGAGCTCTCTTACGTAAAATCAGCCCTTCAGGAAGGGATCGCGAAGAAGACGACATATGAGACTGAAGCAAGCAGAATCAGGGTTGGTTCTTATGGGTGCTTAACAGTGCTAGCCTTACAGCCGGCCCGTATTTAATGAATTACCATGCCTTGGTGAAATTCAGTCACACTTACTGTAATGCACATTTTGAAGTTTAACAAGTCTTTGTGCACTCCATGATTCTTTATACTATGTTTCCAAACTTTTGTTTCATAATTATCATATTTAAGCTGAATTTGAAATTTTCTAAACCTTGGGATTCTGTTAAATGGCTCAAAAATAAATGATTGTTCTTTGATTGACATAGATTTGCGATGATAGCTTCCGTTGATTGTTATCTTATTGATTTCATTTTAACTCCTTACTTTTTCCAATGATAAAAAGCTGATAGAATTTGTGACAAAATATGGGATGCCAGAAACTTGTTGCATGTACCAAAGAACACGCATACAATTTGTTTATTGACCTCTCTTTGACTCTCTATAGGAACTGTATCAAAACGAGGTCGCAGAAAAGCTGAAATTGTCTGATCAAATGAGCAAGCTTAGTGAAAAATTCACGAATTCAACGGCTCGATTGAGGTACACAGCATTATATTTTGGACCTCTGTAATTGAGTTGATCACTAGTCCGTCAAATGTATACTTCCATTTATCATCTTTTTGTTTGTCAAACACTGGTGGGGTGACCTATTAAGCAAACAAACCCCCATATAGACACATGATATTTTTCACTTGTCAAGACTGTGTGGACACCCAGGAAAACGAAGTTTGTCCTTTAAGGTTGTCTGCCTTATTTGTCTCGACACTTCAAGGCACAAAACTTGAAACTTGAAAATTATAGATATTCTTTGAAGCTACAGGCTATCCAAAGGTGCTATGACTGTTTTCTAGAGGTTAAAACATGACAGTTATAAATTTAATAGGAAAATTATATAAACTTCAGCTCGGAAAGGTGATATAAGCCTAGAGTTTGGCAATCATTTTGAAACGGCTACACTGGCTGTTCTTATGTCTTTTGTCTTATGTCTAAAAAAAACATGTACATTATACGTTTGCTACGGAAGCCATGTGGAGGGAACGCGGAGTATGTTATTAATTGGATGGGGGAGGGGGTTGTGATGTTAGTTTACAAGTTTCATTTACTAAAGTATGTTCAAGTTCATTGTAAAACAAACTACTTTGAAATTGTTAAGAGGATCCAGACCTTCCCATTCCAACGCCTCCACCTAACTATATTTTGTTATTCTGACGCAATTTGACTCGTTTTTCAGCTTGGAGAAGTCTCGAAATCAAAAGCTGATGGACTTATCTCCACGAGGAAGTCCCGTTAAAGTACGTCTCTTGCTAAGTTCTTTTTGTTATTAGATGGCAACACCCTTCAATTGACATGCTTACTTTTGTGTAATGATTCACATCAAAAAATTTACCGGAATATAACGGTTTACTGATTAAACTGTTTATCATTATTCGAGCAACACTAATCCTCATTGGTTGACAAGGAACTTGTGTCTTGAACGCCTGCATCCTTCCTTTAACCGCCTTGTTGCTTCTTCGCGATCTCTATTAACAGGTGTACATAAAGCTTTAAAGATCCAGGCGCTTGTGGTTTAAAAGCGCATTTTGTTAAGGAAGAAGGAGCTGTAAATTTCTAAGAATAGTGTTTTTCTTTCTTCCTGTTAATAAAATCCGAGGAAACCGCTAGCTTTCCTGCTATTAATGCTAACCTTTTAATAATGTGTTTATGGATTATATCATCTAGGAGTTTGCGAGGACCAGGTTTTAAAGCAACAGTTAGCTCAAGCAACTCAGTTTTGAGTCATTTCAACCCTCCTTCTTAGATCATAAGTACAACTTCTAAACCTTTTTCTCACCAATATAGATTATGGATTTTTAACATCCTTTTGGCATAGTTTTCAGTATCAACTGTTTGATATACCCAGTTGAGGCAAAAACTAGTTCATTTGCATGCAAACCCACCAGGTCTGACTAAGATATCTTTAGTTTTTAAAGCGTGTCCTCGTTTTAATAAAGAATAGGACAGCACGATTATTTTTTTTCATGCGTTAAGTTTAGGATGCCAATAGCACATCAAATAGGTTGTATTTGCACGCCTTCGTTGCCTCAACAGGCTAATTTTGTAGAGTATCCGGCCTCCAAAAATCAGGTATTGTCGTTTTTGAGTCATGTTTTGAAGCGGATTCCCTCCGATTGGTAATCCTTGATCACGGAAAGGAAATCTCTTAAGTTAGCCTGGTTCTTGCTATATCACGAATACATCTAGTCAGATAGGTCTGAAGGTTGAAATCGTCTCAATGGCTTGGATACGAATTTTTTTGAAGCTTTATGTTCGTTTTTTGTGTCTTTATGGCTACGACATTTGGGCCCTTGCAAAACAGTTTGGCCTCTTTCTGATTACCTACAGTAAAAATCTAATAAACTTTAACCTTGATGAGAATGAAAGAATGATAATGAATTTCAGAAACAAACAGAATAAAGACCAAGATAAGAAACTAAAGCTAAATAAGGCAACCCTAAAAGAGGTGAGCAAATATAAATACCTAGGAGATATAAAAAATAGCAGAGGAACAGTATAGGAATGCATTAATAGCTGGAAAAATTCTTCAAAGGCAGTCATTAATGGAATAAAATTCTTAATCAGCCAACCAGCATTCAAAAAACAAAGCATGGAAAAAAGCATAAAATTGATTGAAAGTGCACTTATCCCTAAAATCTTATATGGGTGTGAAACATGGACTAATATGAACAAGAAAATCTTAAAAATGCTTGAAAATATACAAAAAGATACGATAACCCAAAGCACTTCAATGCCAAAATAAACAGCCTATCAAGACATACTATATGAATGTGGACTTATGCCAATGGTTTATCGAATAAAACTAAGAAGACTATTGTACTTACATAAATTAATAAACATGAAAGAAACACGTTTAACAAATCAAGTATACCAAGAACAAAAGCAACTTAACCTAAGAAATGATTGGTATGATGAAGTAATGAATGACTTGATTGAACTAAATACTCAGCAAAACAAATTTCAGATCTATCAAGGAAAAATTAGAAAAAAATATGATAATATCAGTTGCAGAAGGTGTGGATTACATGAAGAAAATTTAGAACATTTATGGCAATGCGAAAAATTCAAAAACCTTCCAGGAATGGAACAAATTCTAAAAAGCAAAGCAAAAGGCCTGATAGAAATCGAGAGTTTGTTTGAATTTTAGCCTGTGAAAGTTGTGAAAATAGTGAAAATTAGCCTGTGGTACGATACTGCACATGACGTCTTCCCATAATTCTGTGTTTGTGCTATAGTAATTGCTGCGAAACGGAGATTTGGCGAGATATATTATCATTATTATTATTATTATTATAGTAAACACAAATCTTGTTAGACCGTGCATTTTGAGCGCAGTTGTCATCACACATTGTTTCAGAATGGAAACTCTAGGACGTTATTCCCGTCCCAAGCCTTTTTTACTCTTCTACCCAACTACGTAGAATGTCCATGGTCTGCATACCATCTCGTGGAATTCTGAGCCATCAACATAACCTTTTTCGGAAACATTAATCGGCCATATTATGTTGCCCCATACACAAAAGGTTGTGGTTGGTTCCCTCCTTGTGATTAACTCCCCCCCCCCCTTTCCTATTCATGGATGCAACCAACGAACTTTGGGTTATTCATTAAGAACCCTTTTCTCGCTGTTCCTCATCTTTTATGTCACATATATTACAACATGGTTTATGATTTTTACTTCCAGGGCACCCATGGAAAGTTTCTCGCTGCAGAACGTGACGATTTTGCGTCTAGACCTGGTATTATTTTTTTGTCCTTTTAATTTAGTCTACATTATTGTGATAAAATGAAATCATTTGTTTTGCTTCGGAAAACTCAAACAGTTTGAGTCAATCTATTTTGGCCATTTTCGTGATGTCCTCATTCAGTGTGGGGAGGGATCAAGCAGCCGCTAACTGGTAAAATTTGAAGGTTCTTTTAGGCATCCTGATTTTCCCTAAGACCATTGATAGCTGTAACAGATTATTTGTTTTCACCCCTTAGCAAGAATTTTCCATTTCACCCCCTTGCAGCCCCACCCTTGCAGCCCCACCCCTGCAATTGATTGCATTAAGCAAATGGCTTTTCTCTCACGATAAACAGCAATTCGCTAGCCTTAGTAATCCTCCATCCGCCACTCATTTTGCGGAACAAACTGAAGGAAATTCCGGGATTAATGCCATTTTCAGAACAGATTCCGGATTATTCTGAGTCAGTTATGACAGCATTTCTTATCAAGCGAAAACTCAGACTCTATTTACTCTTGTCAAGAAAATTTTCATTTATACTCATTTGTCAAAAGTTAGTTTGAAGGTTTCGTGTCGGAAATTTGTGTTTTCAAAAGACTTTTACGATGTTTTTGAAGGGTTACTGGGTGGGGCTTATCAATGAATTACGTATACTCATAAGAGAGGAGAAGGGGAAGTTCCGTTGCATTGGTATGTTTAGTGAAAAAGGTTCGATGCTAGATGGGGTTTTTGAAAGTTTAATCCTAATAATTTTCGGGACAAAATCACTTGTCTGTTTCCAAACTTTGCGTCACGGGTTCGGAAATGCTTACCTTTCACTGATCACTGGGCACTTTTCCTCAGGGTTTTCCTTGATTGGCCTTTTTGCTTGTCTGCGGGGCTTCACCTACATTTTGAACTGAATTTAGACGTTTTACAAAATTAGTTCTGTCGAGAATTGGGGACAGTGCAACTGCGCGCAGGCTAGGTAAGTCACCCCTCTTCTTAGGGAAGTAACCTATAAGCTTGGGATGTTAGTCGGGAATTTAAGGCTTCAGTTGAAAAATTTGGCTATCCAACTAGACGTTGCCATTTCACTTCCTAGCTGAATATCTAATACCAATTTGTTTTAATATTTTAAACCAAAATCCCTTTACTTTTTCTTTCGTTGAGTACAATGTTTTTCCTTGGTCTTGTAGGCTAATGTTAACAAATTTTCTTTCAGGCCTTCGGCAAACCGATCTCATTTCGACAGGCCAGTACCCGCTCAGTTCGCTCACAACACCAACCTCAAGGGTCAGTAGCGCGAATCGAGACTTCTGGCCAACTTACCACAGAAATTATCTCAGTTGATAAAGATCGCTTCACGTATGTTTGTTAAAATTTAATGTATACTTCAGTATCACTGGTTCAAAGAATAAACTATTTCTACGGGTATTTTTATTGAGTTTGGCAAACTGTTTTTTACAAACAATAAATAATAATTATTGTAACAATATTTCATTGACAATTATTTGCTTTTTACTCTTAGATGCCACCTAAAAGTTTTGAATTATAGTAATATGTTTGTTTTTATATCAGAAGGTTGTGGACTGTAAGATATCAAATATGTTAAAACTGTTAACTTGTGTAATATACTATTGACAATATTAAATGCGAAGAATACTTTTTGTGCTTTTGTGTTCATCTAACCTTTCCAACAAAATCATTGCATATTATGGGGCAGGGTTTATTTTAATTTGCAGTGATAACCAATTTGTGCAATGATAAATCATAAATGTGCAGCGATAAAATCAAATTTGTGCAGTGATAATTTTTTTTAATATAGCCACCCTATTCTTTTGAGAACAAATTAAGAACAGTCCAGCCTCAGATTTTCGAAATATTCAGAACAGCCAGCCTGAACGTAAATTTACTGGTTCTTATAAAAAAAGCGTACAGGTATATTTAAATTTATTTACAAATTGTTACTGATTGTTGGGCTTTGAAGTCGGTTTTTTAAACTTGTTTTCATGAGACTGTATGCAGACACTAGCTACTCGCAATCTGCAGAATGGGGCTTGCAAAGAAGAACCCTGGCCAAAACTCCAAAAGCTCGCAATACCGTTTTCGGACTTCTTTTATTTATACTGCTCTGTTTCACATCTTCGTATTGGTCAGCTGAGACACCAAAGTCAATGTCAGGTGCAACTACATCATGGACTTTACAAATGCCATCTCTTGCTGGATTGAATTTCACGAAGTTGGAAAAACGGGCCTTGCTATTACATCCAGCGTCAGTCTGTTTCTCTTTGAATTTTTCTAATGCAAACAAAAATTCCTAACTTATTGCATTATTATAACTTTTTGTTTCCGAAACAAATTGGTTCATCCGACTTTTGCGACGCTCTTTTTGCCACAGCACTTTCTCGAAGAATGTACCATTAACGCCCATAAAGATAACGCCCATAAAATAAAGTTTTAGCTAAATGAGTGGCGACGATCAAAACAATGGCATTAAACTTCTACGGATTAACCAAAATTGATTCCAGACTGTCTAAAAATGCATTATGGGATGTTTGCGTAGCGACATGGCTCATTGTTAGCAATGACTCTTTAAAGTAATCCCTGTTATGAGGGACATGCAAAATTCAGAAGTGAAATTGCTTGAAGTACATTTTTTAAGTGACGAGAAGGAAATTGTCACCGTAAATATTTTCAATAAAATTTCGACAAACTTAATGTACCTTGCAATCTCTGGTAATAGATTGGCACTTGTGAACCATGCTTCCCGGGCTAACCACCCCTCCTCCACACCCCTCCATTCACCTACTGATTCCGTCACAGATGGGCTTTTTACGTGGTGGCGCAGACAGCATTTGAAAAGGAGCCTGTTTGATCTATACACACTTCTTTTTTTTGTTATTTTGGTATACACAAATCAGCCAATGGTTTCCATGGATCACTCCAAATATGTGGGGAAAGCACAAATTCTAGGGTCATACTGCTGTCAGTCAGAGACAAGCAAATGATGGTACTATGAAACGAATGGTTATTTTGGTTCTTCCTGTAAAATGACACCCGGATATCGAATGTCCGCCCTAAAGACCCCACCTTATATCGGTGTTAACCTCTCTTCTTAGAAGTCTAGCGGTCATACCTTTTCTAGGAACACTAAATCTGACGTGATTTAGCTACTGGTTCCCATTCTCTTTGGATGTGCTCGCAAGGCACCCCGCACCTAGAGAAGATGACTGTGTAAATCAAACTGAGGCTAGCAAGTCTGATGCTTGCCTTTTTATCAAATGCCATCCTAATTATCAGTTGCGTATTTGGATCTTGATGGGATAATAACCGTCTGTGCACTCAGCAGTGAGCGAGCAAATGAAGCATGCCAAGGAAATGACCACACTTCCTAATTATGATGTTGGCACCAACAATTTTCCTCGTCTGCGGAAAAAACGTATGTAGCACTCGCCTTTCTTGGGCTTCAATGTCAAGCATATAACTTTCCCTGATTTTTATCTACCCTTACGCTTTTCTGATTTGAATCAGGCAGTGGATATGCGTTTTGGCGAAGAAGCAGTGTCAGCATGAAGAGGGCAATGGGAGAACTTCTGAACAACAATCGCCTCTACCATCTTTCCTTGTGATAATGCGGTTCGCGTCTTTTGCACAAGCTTATCAAAGACAATGTAAAGATGTATTGTGGCGATTGTATATTGTAGATTTTCACTTCTTCTTCCATAACTTGCGCAATTTAAACAGAGTTCACGAAATGGTCGAAAAAACTGTTCAATCGGTGTCCTTGGATTAACGATTTTATTTGAAATTTTCTTTCGTGCTTCGTTGCATTTGTGAAAATGTGAATGAAATGAAGAGTTTTAGGCAATCGGACGCCACTTTAAGGAACACGGCAGATCCTTTCTGAAGCTAATTTTTAAAGGCAAAACTTAACAACAGATTGGCATGCTGTTCTAAAAAAGCGCGCTAAATTATGCGGCCTAATTATAAGGAAATGCAAACACAATCGCGTATTTTCGAATAGTAATATGATTGAAAACGGTCGTGAGCTTATTTTGATTTTTCAAACAAAGTTAGCTATAGATGATAGAATTTCATGTCGTTATTTATTTATTGTGTCTGGCTGGTAACAAAGTGTGTAGAATGGTCGATTATCATGAAGGAGTCTATGTTTGAA